ACTTTTGCTGGTGGATTGTGGCGCCAAGTTGCGCCACAAGCAACCGACCGTCGACGAAATACTTGTCCCTTTCATGTCCGCTTCATCCTCGCACGATTGAAAACGAATGGGAATTTGTCTATCAAGATGAGGCGTATGCTCATTGCGCCCTAGTGTCTAACTGTTATAGGCTCGTAGGCCGCATCAAGGACCAAGCTGCTAATACTTCTGTCACCCCTCTGTTTCAAGCGCCGACGAGGACGTACAACACCCTTCAACATGGGGAATATGATCCACGATAGTCCCCTGCACTTCCATTCGAGATTGAAGAATTAAAATTCGATAGAAAATTACTGGTATGAATATAAACTGAAAGCATTTTGCAAGCATCTGATACCCTATTGCTGGGCCACTGCTTTTTGAACCCAGGTCGTGCCATTACCCAGATGACACACTGTCGTTCTCATCTGGCTATATTAAGTACTTTTGGTTCATATATATTGTCTGCAGATATTGTATCGTGCTATCTACGAGGGAAATATCTGGCGATGCACTAAGTGAAACATCTTTGTTCGCCATGTACACGCGTAATACAACGAATTAGCGTATGCTGTTTCTGACGCTGATCAACCCAATTCTATTGTATGATCATTTGCAGGTGGTTTCAATTGCTTGGGAGAGGGAACATGCTCCTTTTTCAAATGGTCCCAAATTTGAAACATAGTACACAATGGTAACTTGACCCAAAGATTCTTTAATCATATCATATACCAGTGTTCCCTATGGAAATTCCACTTGATGGCCCAAGGTTAGTGGTCTTCTTTGGTACCAAGGCGTTGAAACTTCTTTCCCATAACTTGGAGGCTTGTTCGAGATACATTGAGAGAATAAGAGAACACTCATTCCAGACTACAAATTATAACTGAGTTTTCTTCATGTATTTGTCCTAAGAGAAGCACGCTGAAAGTATACATTTCAGAGTTCATGCTTTAGTCATTTGTGCACCGAGAAGAAAAGAGATTACAGGTTGTGTAAGTCACACAACAATCAAAGAACAGGAGTGTGCAACGAGCCTTCGTTCGATATAATATGTGGCATTTAGAGACACCGGATGAAACATGTATATGCACATCAGCTGGTATTGAAATAATGGTACAGCTTCTATGACCCTGAGTAGTTGATTAAATGGCACAGGATAGTTCTTCAAAAATCATCACCCCCTTGGAGAAGCTGTTCTAGAGCACGGGTCTTTTACATCTAGTCCGCGAAATACTCTAGAGTTTATTCGGTTATTTTTCATGTAATAGGAGCGTGCTTTCTACTTGGAGTTAGGACATGGCTCAATAAAAGTGGAAGAGATTTGATTCAATGTGCTTCATGTCCTTGGCACATCTGAGTTGGAACTGAGGTAGTAGATCTGCTTGTCAAACAAAAAACCTTTGATCTTGAGTAATGGATAAAGGGATAGTGAGATTGAAACCATCAATATGCATCCTGTCGGCCATAACAGCTGGTTGAGAACGGATATCGGCTTGCCCGCGAATGTCTTCTCAGCAAGCAAATAAGGAGACATAATCACCTGTTGTTCTTTTTTTTTGCCTCAAGCCAAGACGAAGCCTGGTGACACTTGGACATGTATATCGTAATTGTACAGCTTGCTTTACGGAGGGCCACTGGCGTTTTGCAGGCCCGTGGACGACGCGAGGCGACTACCGCACCGCCTCCCAGCAGGTACAGCATTGCTAAGTATCTGAACATATGCATGGCTATGTCACCCAATCATGGTCCCCATATTAAACTACCCTTACATCGCACAGAGATTGAAGCAATAAGGCGGACATATCCTGATTCCCGGGTCGGTTTGGATGCGAATTGACCGATCAGGGGCGCAGGCCTACCCTGCGTAAGGGCTCAATGCCAAGCCCCTTGGGTCTGTGCCCCGTCCAGGCGCCTCGACGTCAGGCCATGTGAGGCGTGAGGAGCCTCACTGGGTGAGTCATCAATATGAATTAAAAACAAACAGGATGCTGTTGGTCTCGTTTTGGATTGGCCTGAGACTGGAGCCGTCATACGAGGATTGCTTGGGGGTTGACGACTGCTGGGACCAAGCTGGCTGGCCACTCTCTAGGAGGAGGACCTATGGTGTGCCAATCCGAAGCCACATGTGCCCATGACTCGATCAGTAGAGCAGCGCATCCTAAGGCATGCTACGCTGAATGGTGAGACGGCAGAGTTGATGACGTAGACTGGCCCAGGCATTTTTGGCATCATTCGGCCGGCACGAGTCTGGCGTATTTGCGGCCATACTGCGGTCAGCTAATCCAGGGTGACCGACTTATCCGCCAAGTTGGTTGCCAACAACAACAGCAGGCACCACTGACAGTCTGACACTGAGCCATGGGGTGAGTTGTGGTGTCGGCTCATGTGGCATGGGCGGAGCTGGCGCTTGATTCGGCACGCCCACCTAAATATCAGAAATCGCGATATCGGAGGATTTGTGCTTTTTTCTGTCTCGGTGTAAACGGCGGGCGAATACTGGGGATCACAGACAGTCCCACCTAAAAAGCCCAGACAGCCTCTGATGAGCGTTTTAAAAGCGTTTATAATAGATATTATACTTTTAATTGAGGGGCTAAGTCTCTTTGTGTCCAGCTCCGTACCGCGTACCCCCAAACTCAGGGTCTCAAAGAGGGGAAATGGTAAGTGGGAAGCTCCGAAGAAGCAGTTGCGACGCCAGGTTGTCAATGATATTGGTAACTATTTGGTCTCATCTGCGTAGGTGAAAGTCTAATCTAAGCGAGCCAAGGTTGCAGCGCGGGTCGCAAAGGATGGGGGCTGACCTCCTTTCCCCTCCATTAGCCTGGCATGCCACAGTAGGCAGCCCAGATCGGCTTCGGTTTTTTGCCTTTCTAAGCGCGATGGCTGGCCACTTTGCGCTGCACCATTGTCCGTGGGCAGAGAGAGAGCGTGGGCGATGGCGAAATCCGGCTGGCTGAAGAGGCTGGCATCCCACGATTCATCATGAGACCATTCGGCCACCCGGTTCTCTTATCATCTTGCTACCTGTCGCCGCAGCTCTCACTGAGGGTGTGGGATCGAGAGGTCGTTATAGGCATGTGTCTGCATCTATATCTAGACAGGGTCAGACAAAGGATTCCTGCTCCAGGTCGGCTGGATCAACCTGCATGCGCCGGTCGCATCTTGCAGATGGACGGGGTGACAGTCACCACACTAGGACGAAACCAGAGTAGCGGCAGCACAGGATGATAATGTGTATTTGGGTTTATACAGTGCAGTGAATAATGATTATTCTTCTGGCTCGTTGGCCAACCAGAACAGGATTCCCCTCCAATGCAAAGACACTCCGTACAGGCAAAAGAGATTGCGCCAGGCAGGTAGGTCCCTACCATTTACTGCGCGGTGAGGCCCCTGAGGCTGTCATGGCACCACTGATGCTCATCTTACTCGTATAGGAATGCTTACAAGGGGCCGCACGCCTGCGACTCACCTTATAACAATTTCGCCCAGGTAAGCCCATTCTTGGTGGGCGTGTGCTATAATGGCTATTATTGTTGTTGAGGTGTCTGATTGAAAGGCTGCCCCCTCCCTCCAAGAGCCTCCTCGCATTGATACCTTCCCCCCATAACACTTTCTGAAATATTATCTGTTCGGTAATTCTCACACCGTCATTATTTGGATCATACATTCAACGTTTCTCTCTTACTTTGGATATACTCTCGCTGGTCGATTGAAAGTTCACGTCGACCTGTGATATTGACTCGCAGACAAGACGCTAATGTTGCACCTACCATTTAGAGTACAAACTTGCTACTGCACGTCGGTGGTGGTAGAGCCGAGCGAGTTCAGCACTCCACCAGAAAAAGGGCCCCATCCCACATTCATTGGCCTCCGATCTCAATAATTCCTCTTGTCGCAGACCAGCTATTGAAATAAGAATCCTCTCGACTGCGGACTCATCCGAATCAAAGCAACGCGAAGAAAAGAAGGGCATCGCCGGGTAGCGAAGGTCATCGCATCTCAGCGCAGCGAAACAGAGTGCGACACACAGCTCGGGCAAGGCGACTCCCTCTGGCACCCTCGCTTCTTTGTTGGGAGCGAATCTTCCGCACGGCACACGGTCCGCCGCACATGCGCACGCTCACGCACACACACCAGACAGCTCCAGCTCAGGATTCGACGCTCCTGTGCCCACGGGGGCTGCCCATCTGCGGTTAGAGGTGCCCATCCCTCACTACTGCCAGACATTACGCCAAAGTGCATACATCCCCAGCGACACGCATCACACATACATCCGCGGCCCGTCGCAGCAGGAGCAGGGTCCTCCAAAAGAAGGAAGCAGCGCCACCAGCGTGCGTCCCCCAGGCTCCGGAACCAGCTGTGCTGTGCCCTGTTTCGACTCTGCTGGCACAAACAAGGCGCTGGCAGCTGCATTAGCGCTAACACCGCCCTCGAATCGCAGACTCATCTGTCCATTCCCATCGCCAACCCATCCACCCCGGCGGCGCATCCCTGCACTCGCATTTTAGGACCCAAAGTCTTGGCTCCACGCCCAAGGGTCCGTCCGCTAGTTTTTGACTTCCGCAAGGGCTCCGTGTGACGGAGGTGGAGGGGTCCCTGGATTGATCCGCGGTACCTGTCGTCATTGCTTGCATCACATAGTGCATTAAGTACCGGACCTGCACCCTGAGCAATGCCATCCGCTGTTCCCACCACTGTAACTGCCCCAGAAGGTACGTGCATCCACTACACCTGCGCTGTGTACCCAGTACCTGCGCTACACCCTTTACACTTTTCAGGCGCCTGCCGCCATCTCGCCTCATCCCAACCATTCTGCCCATCCTTTTTTGGATTTCTCCTCCTCTATATACGCAGCGTTCAACAACATTCTACACACTCTGATTCTCCCAATCTTCAATTCGGGAGTCGGTATTAACCAACCTCTTCTTCTCACAGAACTGGGTCGCAAGCAATCAAAACAATCAGTTCTCGCAAAACTTGTCATGAGCTGTCTCCTTGGCCAAGATCCACCACAGCAGTCCCCGACATCGTCGTCCTCCGCCCACGACCATGACCAGCACCTTGCTGTCTTGCCGTCCTCCGGCCCCAATGGCCTACATATTCCACACGTCCAGCACCCTACCTCCGCAATGGCAACGGCACTGCGCGCCCTGAATGACTTCACAGATACCCCATCAAATCCGCGAAGCGTCAGCTCAACAGCGACCAACTCGCCTCGCATGTAAGCTCCCTCGAACATGCACAGATGGCTACGATTGCAATCCAGCTTTGCCCCTTTTCCTTCCTCCCTCACACTCCATGTTTAATTATTATGCCTTGCCTACTTTCTTTTTTTAACTTTTCTTTTTTGCCTTTGTTGTATTTGCATGAGTCAACACTAACAAAGTAACTTCGACAAATTAGTCCACCTTTGCGACAAAACTCAGGGACACAGAGCCCGCGCGTGCGACCTCATGCGACAACATTGAACATCCCTGGCATGACGAGATCCAAAGTCTCACCTGATGGACGAATCCCACAGCGCGATGTGGCTGCTAAGCTCGTCATCGTCATGGTTGGTCTGCCAGCTCGGGGCAAATCATATATCACAAAGAAGCTTCAGCGCTACTTGTCATGGCAGCAGCACGAGTCGCGGATTTTCAATGTGGGCAACCGCCGAAGAATAGCCACGGGAACCCAGGCGTCCGTTCACCCCAGGCTTGCACCTGAGCCTGCCCGTCTCGATCCTCCGGTAGAAGCTGCTGCTATCTTGCTCAATGGTGTGCCACATCCCAATGGGATTTCTTCCAGACATAATCTTCTCGAACCACCTGCATTTGACTTGAACCGGGGGAGGGATGAGGAAATTGTTACCAGCCCCACTGCTGAGAACGAGGCTGAAAATGGTGACGTTGACCAGTCGGCGAAATTCTTTGATCCGAAGAACGAAAAAGCCGCGGCCATGCGTGAACAAGTAGCGATGAATACGCTGGACGAGCTTCTCGATTATCTCCTTGTGGAGGGTGGCGCAGTTGGGATTCTGGATGCTACCAACAGTACAATCGCCCGTCGTCAACATGTGGTCGAGCGCATCAAGGACAGGGAGCCAAAGCTTGGCATTCTATTTGTCGAGAGCGTATGTCATGACCCTGATCTTCTCGAAGCCAACATGCGTCTGAAGCTCTCTGGTCCGGATTACCGAGACAAGGACCCTCACCAATCCTTGTTGGATTTCAAGGCCCGAGTTGAGGCATACGCCAGCGCATATGAACCTCTGGGCGAATGGGAGGAAAAGAACTACCTCCAGTACATCCAGGTGAGATCCAGGATTATTCAATGGCTAGAAATGAGGGCTAACAATCGATTTAGATGATCGACGTCGGGAGAAAACTAGTTCAGCATAGACTGACAGGCTTTCTAAGTGACGGCATTGCTTCATATCTGTCAACCTTCAACTTGTCCCCCAGACAAATTTGGATTACAAGACATGGCCAGAGCGTTGACAACGAGCTAGGCAAGCTCGGAGGAGACGCCCCAATGACAGAGAGGGGCCATTTCTATGGATTTGCCCTGCACAGGTTTATTACCCATAAGCGTAGGCAATGGCTCATGGAACAAAAGAGCAAGATTGCTCAGGCATCCTTCCCTCCGCTGCCAGGATCTAACACTCCCCCTTACCCCGAATCTAATCGAGAATTGGATGAGAAGAATTTCTGTGTCTGGACCTCTATGCTTAGACGAAGTGTCGAGACCGCCGAGTACTTCGACGCCGACGAAGACTATGACGTCAAGAACTGGGAAATGCTCAACGAGCTTAACACTGGCCAGTTCGAGGGGATGACGTACGCGGAAATTGCCAGGAACCATCCAGAAGAATTCAAGAAGCGAGCCAGCGACAAGCTCAACTACATTTATCCTGGCGTCGGAGGAGAGGGGTACCTCCAGGTTATTAGCCGACTTCGTGACATGGTCCGGGAAATTGAACGCATCACTGACCACGTTCTCATTATTGGACATCGCTCTGTCTGCCGTGTCCTAATGGCATATTTTATGGACCTCACTCACGAAGATATCACCGACATGGATGTCCCACTTGGTATGCTCTACGCCATTGAGCCAAAGCCTTACGGCATCGAATTTCATGCCTATCGATACAATGAAACTGAGAGCTGGTTCGATGAGCTACCAAACTATAAGCCGCAGAAGGCTGCCCGTGGCAGCGTGTAACGAGACTTGAATGTCCAATACATAAGCGCGCTCCTCTCTATCACCTTTTTTCAACATCCTGTATTATTAATGGGGATCAGTGGCACTTACACCTTCTTGTTCTTCAAACTCTTCGACCACATCTACAACCTTTTTTTCTCTATTCTTCTTGTCTCCTACTCCACAGGCTATTTTTCTTCTTTTTTTCTTCTCTTCTTTTATTTCTTAGGACCTTTGCACCGGCGTTGAGGATAACGGATCGATACCAAGGGAAAACAAAGGAACAAGCACACATGACTAAGGCGTTACAATTGTTTGTCTCTCGGTAAAGATTCATATACAGATTTCATGCTTATGACACATTCTGGGTTGAAACGGTGTTTTTTTCTTCAATGGGATCACATTCCGATGGGCACGGGGAATGATGTTAAAGGAACGGTACTGGCTTTCAGGATGTTAGACATGAAGGGCAGTTGACTGCTCCAAGGCTATACAGATTCTTCTTTGCTCACGCTATATTACGGGTCTCTCGTTCCAAGATTTCCATAAACAAGTAGTTTCTCTGGGTTCACAATGGAGACAAAGATGTCATCATTCATACATATGTCAAGATGCTGGCAAACAGAACAGATCGTGGGTATTACAGTGGATACTATAGTATTTTATATGTTATCCAGCTAAAGAAATATCCTGCCCAAGTCTCCAAGAATGAAAGTGCAACGCCATGCCATGCAAGCAATCTTAAACGCCATAATTACCCCCGAGCCTGAATCATGTCCTTTGCCTTTACTTTTCCCTTGCCAGAACCATTTTTTCTCTCTCGTTTCTCCGTCGCTCAAATTGCTTCTTAGTATGCCGGCGTTCGTTCTCCTCGCGCCTCTTGATACTCTTGAGCTCCTCTCCCTTGATCTCGGCAGCCTTCTTCACAACCTGGGGTATGTGACGATGCCTCTTGATTCGGCGGATCTCAGGCATGTGCCCGAACCGCTCCGTCAGGGCCTCGTTGTACTCGAGGGCCTGGCGGTGGCGGGCGGACTTGATGCCTTCCCGCTGCGAGGCATTGGCCCTCCAGATTCGGACGTTGCCGTCGTCGGACCCGGACAGGACGTACTTGGCGTCGGGGGTCCACTTGACCGAGAGCACGCGCTGCATACGCTTGGTGTGGTACACGTCTCTCGAGTGGCCCCTGTTCCTGCTCCAGAGACGCACGGTGCGGTCCCAGGATGCGGAGACCAGCTCCTCGCCGGTGGGGGAGAACTCGACGTCCATGACGGCGGCGACGTGGTCCTTGAAGACGTTGAGGGCCCGGTCCATCTTGCGCATGTCGAAGAGGTAGATGTTGTGGTCCTCGGAGGCGGTGACGAAGTTGAACGCCTCCATGGGGGACCAGGCGATGCGGTTGGTGGAGAAGGTGAGGACGGTCTTGGTGATTGGGGTGGACGTGCGGAGATCGTAGATGACGAGGGATCTGTCGCTGGAGCAGGATGCCAGGACTGACGTCTCCACGTAGTTGAAGGCGACGTTTGTGATTGTGTCGACTGCGGTGGGCCAGCGTAGGACTTCTGGTGCGGCGGTGTGGCGCTCCAGGTCGTAGATGGAGACGACGCTGGAGGCGGCGGCGAAGGAGTTCTTGGAGCGGTGGTGCGACAGGCTGGTGAAGGCGCCGGAGCCGAGCCACGAGGAGATTGGCGGAGCGTCGCTCCGAGTGTTGTAGGGATCAAAGAGCTTGATCGTCTTGTCGGAGGCGCAGGTCAACAATTTCTGGTCCCTCGTCCACTCCATTCCCTTGACGATGTTCTCGTGGGCTGTTGCGTGCCAGATCTCGTCCTTCCCTGCCAGATCCCAGACCTTGACCACGCCATCACCGCTGCCGCTCGAGAAGCGCTCGAGAGAATTGGGGTCCTTGGCAATTGAGTAGACGCCATCGACATGCCCTCTTCCCAGCTGCCCGACGAAGGGCGCCGCGTGCATGCGCTCGAGCTTGACGGCTGTGAGGGCTCGCTGGTACTCGCGTGCTCGCTCGAAAGGGTGGAGCGCAGAGTCGAGGTTGCGAGGGAGCTTGGCGGTATCTGAGCCGGCGGGCTGCTGCTCCGATGCAGAGCGACTTAGCGCTTTTATCTTCATGGTCGCTGTATAACCTCAGGGTATGGGCCAATTCAAAATCGTGATGTTTGATGGTTTTATCGGTCGGCAGTTGCCATTGCATCTCTAGGCGTGGGGCGGATTTTTTTTCTGCTTATCAGTCAACGCCGATAAGCCTTGCCAAAACGGCTTAGTCAGGTGGCATAGAGCTTGTTCGCCGCCTGCCTTTGTTCACAGGCGTTCCGACCAGGCGCATCTCGACAACTCCTATAACTTTTTTCCTTCCGCCTAATCAACCCCAACCGCCGAAATCAAACGTATCTCAGACAGCGCACCAGCTCCTGAATCCAAAGATCTACCGTCCTATCCCTTCACCAGTTGTTTCTTACTAGTTAGCAAGCGGCGCAAGCTCACGAGCGCGCGTCGCGAACATGGACGGCATGGACTATGACCCGATGGCTATGGATGGGGACTCCGAACAGCCCCAGGTGAAGATTTCAGCAGTATGGAAGATCCCTTGTCACTCGGCTCAACAGAAAGGACGGAGAGATGCTGACTAGGTTCTGTAATAGGCGGACAAGACACACGTGGACTTCGAATTATCGAGAACCAACCTTTCTTTTGCCAACTCATTGCGAAGAGTGATCCAAGCCGAAGTACCGACAATCGCTATCGATCTAGTGGAAATTGAAGTGAATACCTCAGTCCTCGCCGATGAGTTCATCGCACATCGCCTCGGTCTGATTCCTCTCGACTCCAGGAACGTGGGCGACCTCAACTACTCCAGAGACTGTGATTGTGACCAATACTGCGAACAGTGCAGTGTCACCTTGAACCTCCATGCCAAATGCACATCCGACGATATCATGAAGGTGTACGCTAGTGATCTGGTGACTGATGGCCAGCATGCGAATTCGGTTGGCAAACCTATCATCAACGACCCCGAGGGTTTGGGATGTCTCTTAGCCAAGTTGCGGATGGGACAGGAGTTGAGGCTCACGTGTATCGCGAAGAAGGGTATTGCAAAGGAACATGCCAAGTGGATGCCGACTTCGGCAGTGGGCTTCGAATACGATCCTCACAACAAGCTGAACCACACGGATCTCTGGTTCGAGAACGACACAGACCCGGCCAAGGAATGGTATGATCTTCCAAACTCCCTGAGCATGGATCTCAGTCGCACGCATGCTTGTTCATTTATCTAACCCGAGTGTAGGCCCAAGAGCAAACATGCTGAATGGGAGGACCCCCCACAGGAGGGCGAACCCTTTGACTATGACGCAGTCCCAACACGATTCTACTTCGAGGTCGAGGCAGCGGGGAATATGGAACCCGACCAGATCATCCAAAATGGAATTCGGATCCTCCAGCAAAAGATTGGAGGTCTACTGAAGGGGCTTGATCCCCGTAAGTATGGTGGAGAGGAGGAGCCAGACTTTGACGGACCCCGAAGCCCAGATATGAACTTGGACGGGAGCACGACACCCTGGCAGGATACTGGATACCAGACGGCATATGGAGGTGGCTATGGCGGCGGTCAGACATCATACGGTGGCAGCCAAACGTCATATGGCCAAGGCAGCCAGTCATCGTTTGGGCAAGACGGCCAGGGCTCGTATGGCCAGGGCAGTGGCGGCTCATATGGTAATATGACGGCGTACGGGACAACCCCCTATGGACAATCATCTTGGCAATAAGCCGCCCGAGGAGTTTATTTGGTCGGGAGATTTCGATGGGTTTTCATTTTCTCTTCATGCGTATTTAAACTTAACAATCCTGGCCCCGGTGTGCCGGCCATGAGAATCTGTATTCATAAATAGGCGGGAAACAAAAAGTAGCTGAAACAAAACCCAAAGCGGGCTAAACATGATGGAGAGCAGAGAACAAGATAATATATTACGATGAAGTCTATATCAACAACCGCAATCGTATCTACCGTCTAGGTGATCTAACCAAGGCTTTGCCCGTCATCTATCATGCGTTACCTGCAACGTCCTCGTAAGCTCAGATACCATCGATAGCATCATACATACCCATTAACGCCAAGATGCAAAGGACAACAGCACACAGCCGCTAGCCCACTCCCAAATGCCGAACCTGTCTATATGCGAAAGCCCTTCACCGCATTTACAACTACCCGGGATACCAACCCCACTCTCTACAAGGTTGCCTCATCTATGCCCTGAACCTGTCTATAGGCCTTGCGGTGGAATTCTAAGAATACAAATGTACATATCGTGTGGCTGAGGACGGCGGTCAGTTAACATTCGATGCGAAAAGGAGAGATTAGGAGTGGATGGGGGGAACTCACGGTCCAAGACGTAGAAAGCTGGGAACCCAGCCCTTGAACACCCATCCCAGTCCTTCGGTGCGATTAATGTCGCTTATCAAACGCAGGATCCCGTGGTCGTGGTGGGAGGACATCACACGGGTCTTGATAACGTCGATGGGACTCGTCGCAGTCGCGGCGACGAGACCGGCCAAGAATGACGCGGAGAAGTGCGTCATCAGGTTATCCTTCATGGGGGTGTAGTCGAGAAGGAGACGCTTGGCGGTGTCGTAGCTGGCCAGCTGGCTCGCGGTCATGACGGCGGCACGGCTGCTGTTGGGCAGCCACCCTCTGAACCAGCTCGCCAGCCCTTCCTCCCGCGCGAGCCTGATCATGCCGTCGATGGCGTGCTTGTAGTTCCTGCGCTGCTCGGGGGGCAGGGAGGCGTCGTGCTGCATGCGCACGTTGAGGACGTCGGCGGCGTTGCCGGCGATGCCACCGATGAAGCCCGAGGTGGAGGCCATGGCGAGGAGCATTGGGAACGAGGCGTCTGCGCTTCCGGAGCGGGACTTCATCTCCTCGTAGACGCCGAAGCGGACGGTCGAGTAGCTCATCTGGCGGAGCAGCGAGGCCGAGATGCCGCTGTAGAGTCCGATGGGGCCTTCGGACCGGATGATCTTGAGAAAGGTGCTAGACATGGACTTGGGGGCATCGGGGGCCCGGGTTTGAAGTCGCACCTAGTAGAAATGTGTGAGTTTCGCATTTTCAAATACCAAGAATAAAAGATGTAGGTGTGTGTAAGTGCGTGCAAAGGCGCGCAATGCATTCAATGTTTTCAAAGTTTGGCAGTTGGGAAGGACGGTGTTGCGATTTCGGAGATATGGCCATCATGATTCTTCCTTACCTTGACTGCACCGAGGTTAGCACACCCCTACATATTCAAAGCAACAAGGCGGTAAAGAACAGGAAAATACTTGCCTAGATCCAATGGATGCGTCACGCACGCAGCCATACTGCTGGCGCTCCCTCCGAACCAGAATGGATAATGAATGGCACTCTTCTTCTGGCGCTGCTCTCGTTTCTCGGCCTTCTGCTCAGCCTTGGCGGCCAGAGCATCGGCCGGAGCGGTGCTGACGGTGTTTTGCATTTTTGCAGCCTGCTACTACCTCGAGTATGGAAAGAAAGGCGACGAACCCCGAGACTCCATGCAAGGCGTTTTGGACCCAGGCCTTTTCTTGGGAGTTGAGCCGGAACGTGGTGTAAGAGTCTTTGACGGCTACCTACGGTGACGACAGAGCCTTGGGGAGGAAGGAAGAGGAAAAGATCGATTTGGGGTAATTGGGGGAGAGGGATGTCAATGTGACGGCAAGCCGAGCGACTGGGGTCTGGATCTAGCAATCCATTCTGGCCGGGTTTAACAATAATTGGAAATGATTACTACACGATGGGTGCATTGCAAATTCAGTTGACAGGGACCAGCAGTGGTGCGCGACACCGGAGGATAACTTGTTAGGCGCTTGAGCTGGCTGGTAAAAGGCGGCTTTAGCAATAGTTGACCCCCACCTAACGGCCATGGACCCTGTTTTTTCCTCAGTCTGCGGTGCCTGTCGCTCAAGCTCCGACTCGCAAGATCCATCCGAGCCACCACCTCCTCCACCGCTACCGACTTTTATGCAGACAGGTTCTGCATTTGCGACACACCGATTTTCCTTCCATATGCTGCAGAAATGAGGATCCTCCAGCCGGGCGCCTCAATGCGCTGTCTAAGGACGCTCACACGCCTCCCGAGGTGCTCAATCGTATCCCAACGGGCGTTCGTTGCCCGCGCCTGCTCATCTGGTCCGTTTATTTAATGTTTCTCGCGGGGCTCAATTGGGATGGATAGAGACTTATACAGCCCTTAGATGCAGCCTCAGGCTCTGGGAAGGATTCCTCGACCAAGGCGAAGAAGAAGCCATCCTCGGTAACGATCCGAGGCCAGGCCTATGAAACCAATGCTGCTTGGTTCAATGTGCCCACCAACGTTCTCGACGCAACTTCACGAAAACTGCATCTCCTAAAGGATCACCCTTTACAAATCACTCGCCAAGTAATGCAATCAAATTTTCCAGCTCCTACATACAGATATTACGACGATCTAAGTCCGGCCGTAACCACGCACCAAAACTTCGATTCGTTAGGGTTCCCCGCCGATCACCCAGGTCGAGCTCTATCGGATACCTACTATATCAGTGACAAGACGCTCCTACGAACCCATACCAGTGCCCACCAAGCAGACACCTTCCGTGCCGACGAAAGCGATGGCTATCTTGTCTCGGCCGATGTGTACCGCAGAGATGCCATCGACAAGAGCCACTACCCTGTGTTCCACCAGATGGAGGGCGCTCGGTCCTGGGATCGTTCCAAGGTGCCTGATGGCGACGTAGCGGCGGCAGTCTGGCGTGATGTGGAGAAGCTTCCCAAGCATAACATTATCGTAGAAGACCCGAACCCGACTTTCCATGACGAGAGGAACCCGCTCCAGGAGGGGCATCATTCTGCAGCCGAAGCCGAAGCCATTGCTTCTCATCTCAAGAGATCCTTGGAGGCCATGGTGGTCAACGTCTTCTCCAGAGCCAGAGCTGCTGCCTTGAAAGGAGACCCCGACTTTGTTGACGAGCCTCTCCGCATGCGATGGGTTGAGGCGTACTTCCCCTTCACTAGCCCTTCGTATGAACTTGAGGTTTACTACGATGGAGACTGGCTTGAGGTTCTTGGCTGCGGCGTGGTCAAGCAGGACATTTACATCAATGCAGGTGTTCCCAACAAGCTTGGCTGGGCCTTTGGTATCGGAATCGACCGCATTGCCATGCTGCTCTTCAAGATTCCAGACATCCGCCTCTTCTGGTCTCGTGACGACAGATTCCTCTCCCAGTTCACGGGTGTGTCGGACAACCTGGATGCCTTGAAGCGCTTCGTTCCGTTCTCCAAATACCCACCCTGTCCCAAAGACGTATCATTCTGGCTCCGGGGATCCACCACCGAAGAGGGCAACGCTCAAGCTGCAACCCATGAGAACGATGTCATGGAAGTAGTGCGCAATGTTGCCGGAAATGTGGTGGAGGACGTGCAGCTCTTCGACGAATTTACACACCCCAAGTCGGGACGGAAGAGCACTGCCTACAGGATCACCTACCGTAGCTTGGAGCGTACCCTGACCAACGACGAGGCCGTCTCTCTCCACGAGAAAGTCAGGAAGGCTCTCGTCAGCGAGCTAGGCGTTGAGCTTCGATAGGGCTAGCGTGTGGCTTGTTTCAAGGTGACGATTATGTATATCACGTTGTACCAACAAGTTGTAAGATTTAGGGTATGAACTAAAAGATCTGGCATTTAGACATACAGAACCCAGGTGGCCAAGAGATGGGTGCCTGAAGAAGATTCTAGAGGCAAGGCATTGCTGTTATTGAAGTGATCTGGATATCTGTAATACAGTCAACCATGGCTGGCGTGTTGTCGTTTGCCAGCCCGGACTGCGCACCATTCCGAATGGCCGGGCTGTGAGATGACGCAGTGGGATGGTAGGCTTAGATTTCATGCTTGGAACCTCATACGACGGTCAAACTGCCGCCTTGGTCATCGCAAGCGCGTATTCGGATCGTTGTATGACTCCAAGCAATACTTGCTATAACGACTAATATCATTCCACGCATTGTGGTGACCTCCAGTAATGCCATGCCAAGCAATGGACATTCGAGTGGGCGCTAAACCGGATTGCCGCCAATTACATCATCTCCAAGCCGCCGATCAAACCAGGTTGGTCTCATGCGGGGAGCATATTGCCACCAGGGGGAATATGATGGAAAGCATCACGAGGTGAGCGCATCTTCTAGCAACGTCAGGTTCGCATACTCATCATGAGACGATGAGCCTTGTGGAACTGCCTACCTTGGGCAGTGTCACTCTCGTCCCTGGCAAGCCTGAGTCCAGCTGGTCATGGACGCAGCCCACTGGGCAGTGTTTTAAGATTGATTCCTGTATGCTTTGACCTTAGTCAGCCAACTCAGGGACGTGTTACTAAGTCATGTCCACTAGATTAGTCCCTGCGCCCGAGGTTGACAATTAGTGCTTGTTAGCCTCTGAAGCCCAGGGGCCCATCGCAAGGCTGCTCCTACTGAAGCGCAATTTACTGCGCGGGGGATAGGTGAGCTGAGCCGCGTTGTGACTGACTTAACAACTGAGGCTTGGAGAGTCAGTGTAATTTGCCGCTGCGTGCGTATGGCAGCAGCATGCCTAGATCGAGGTATGGCCATGTCGCCGGTGGGTCCAGGTCCGTAATAATGAGTGTCTTATTCGCCAGAGACGCAAAGACACAGCCTCCATGCTTGAGCCAATTCCTCGTGGCAAGATAGGCTATGTGCTAGGTCGAGGGGGAAAAGTCAGATGCCGGAATCGCAGTCGGCCCTTGAAGAGATTTGAGTGGCTGTACAGTATGGGAAGTCCGGCGGCACATGCCCGTACGTTGTCGTCCGGCGGTGCCTCGTTGGAACAGACACACAGCCTCCCTCAACTGGACCCACGCAAAAACCTCCATCGAAGCCACTGCCCCAACCGGTCCAGGGTCTGTGCGGGGCCTGCGAAAGCGAAATGCGGTGCAACGAACTCGATAAGGCCGTATTCCCACTCCCACTCCGACATCTGTTAAAAGAACAACAGGGCCGCCACATTCCCAGACATCCAGACTCCTCACACACACTCAACCTCTGCTACAGAACAACACCTAGACACAACCTAGTCTTCATTTACAGCAGCTCACCCAATCACAATTCTCCTCTACCTCCTCGGTCTCCAGAGCCTCCAACCTCTTGACCGCCAGAACACACCTTATCAAGCTTCATCCACAGTCACATTCTATCTTTCGCAATGGAGCCCAGATTAGAGTCCAGCACCCGCGTTTCGCGCTCTTCCTCCAACGCATCCAGGAAGTCCAACCTGACGCTCGACCTCTCCACCTTGCCGCCTCTATCGCAGCCGACACCACCCTCCAACACCCTCATCTTCACCAACCTCAATGACCTCGCAATCTTCGGCGCCGATTCTCTCGCCTCCATCCGCGATCTCATCTCTCGAACTGCCACCATTCATACATGGGCACCCCTGAAGTCCTTCCGACGAATTATTGTGTCATTCTACGACGAAGAGGCGGCCATCAAGGTCCGCCAGGTGTGGGATGGCGAAAACGTCTCAGGGGAGCGTATCCGGGTATACTTTGGTCAAAATACTCCTCTCGAGGTTAAGGACGAGCGTCTGGCGCTGCCTGATGCTGGCAAGCTCTTCTTCATCTCCCCACCTGCAAGCCCACCCCACGGATGGGAGGTCCGCCAAGAGGACGCACCCAACAAGCTTGTCCACGCCGACGATCTCGCCCTAGCACTAGCGAAGCTTAACCGCCCAGCAGAGTCACCTACCCTCGAGTCGCCTGTGACTCCCGGAGACAGCCGCATGCCCAGCACAACTCGCAGCCGCAGCTCTACCCTCATCTACCAGCCTGACGACAAGAGCCCCAACATGCCAGCGGTCGTGGTTGAGGATATGACTGATGAGCCCGAAGGCTTAAGTCTCGAGACCAAGGCAATCATGGCTCACACATCCATGCCTCCTGTGGAGCTCATGGCCGACTCATAGGCACCTCTTTCTTCTATCATTGTTCCGCTGGAGTTTTGTTCGGAGTCGTTTCAGGGATAACTAAGCACACTATCACGGCGTTTTTCATTGATTTGCGGGGTTCTTGCTTCACAGAGTCACGGGGAGTTCCCCATGGCATCTAGAAATTGTTTAGTTTTGGGGGGGCATGTGTCTACACTGCACTTTAAAAGCTTACTCAAATGTTTAATATTGGAATGATCGAGCACGTGGGCAAGGCGTTTTCAGCATTAAGGGTTCTTTTCAGTACGGTATGCAGATGAATAGGGCGCGAAACTTCCAAAAAGAGTCATGTACATTAGTTTCACTTGGGCATATCGCATAATGCATGGTTGGTGCTGTTTTTCATCTCAAAATAGAGACAGTTTCGCAACAACTGAATCGAGTCCGAGTCACTACCAACCAACAGTTTCAACATGAGTTCCAGTATACTGCGCCAGGGCAATACTTTCGCCCTTTTACTAATACAGTGATCAATGTCACAAATGCTTCTAATTACAAACCACTCCATTTATTTTGCGAGGACTGGATATTTGTGCATGGTTAACAGTAATTCCTGACGCTGGAATTGGTGATGCACTCTGGGACGGTTAAACTTTTCCCCTTTCGGGCTAGGCGCAAGTCCACTTTTTGAATCTTTTTGGAGGCCAAGCGGCGACAGCTTTTGAGTCTTGCGACAGTGGTTATTCCATGTCCCAATTCTTTCTTGGCCTTTTTAATATTCTTCTTCTTTTCTTCTTCTCCGCCAAGCCATAAAATTAACGAGTTACGGGCCGGCCATTGCTTCGAGGTCAAAGAGAGTCATGCACTGTTCCTGCCGTGCCGCTCCTCTCAGGACCTTTATTAACGGTCTTGCCCAAGTCCACAGGCTCGAATCTACTTCGCTACCCCGTTCATACATCTCCGCCGGCCGGTCCAAACCCTTTCTACAAGAATTGTCTATCGCAAGGCAAAGTAGACTATTTCACCAGTCTCGGTCACTCAGCGGCAATGCTGCGGAAGCAGAGGTCGCCGCTACGGAGGTAGCTCAGGCTGAACCGACCGAACAAGGTGCAGCGGAATCCAGCCCTTCATCTTCGCATCTCGGTGTACCTCAGACAGATTCGAAAGCCCCCGAGGCTTCATACAAAGATTCCGGGTCCCATGCGGGAAAGAACGGGTTTCAATCCGCCTGGAAACCCAGAGCACATAGTAACAAATTTACGTCACGCCCATCTGAAAGACCTAGATGGCAGAGTGGGAAATTCGACGCAAACTCAGATAGACCGAAGTACGACGGTCCCTCACCTCAGAGAGGGGGAAATTACTCTGGGCCGCGCGGAGGAGCGAAAAATCAACAGTGGGGTTCAAAGTCGTTCCAAAATCGCGAGCAGAGGCCGTTCCAGGATCGCCAGCAGAAGTGGTCTCAAAACCGCGAACAGAAACCGGGTCTGCACAAGGGCTCGAGCAATCCCGGAGAGGAGCCCACCCCCTCTGCTTCACAACCCGAGAAGAAGAAGGACGTGGAGGATTGGAGGATCCAAAAGGAAATGCTGAAGGCCAAGTTTCCTGATGGTTGGAAGCCGATCAAACGTCTCTCGCCGGATGCACTCGCCGGCATCCGTGCCCTCAATGCCCAATTCCCAGATATTTACACTACGTCGAACCTTGCGGCGAAGTTCGAGGTGTCGCCGGAAAACATCAGACGTATCCTGAAGAGCCACTGGCAGCCGTCGGCCGAGGAAGAGCAGTCCAGACAGGAACGGTGGCACCGCCGAGGTATGCAAATCTGGGAGAAGAAGGCGGCTCTGGGTGTGAAGCCGCCCAGAAAGTGGCGTGCTGAGGGTATTACGAGAGATCCCAGGTACCATGACCGGAGAAGAGCGCGCATCCAGCGGGATAAGCTTTGGGAGGAGGAGGAGACCAACAAGTACAGAGCATACAGGGAGGGTCTTCAGAAGGCCGCTGGCAAGGTCGTGTAAAATATTAGAGCCGCTTGTACAATTAAATATTCCCAAACCATATAGACGGATATGCGTCCATGAATACTAATCACATCTCAACATTGAAGAAAAAAAAATGTCCCGTCTTCTATTTCCGTGCCGTGAGCTGAATGATCACTGTATCTTAAAATAACTAATGCGCAAGCAAGAAATATCAAGAAGAAGCAACAGTATTCTTAGAAATTTAAGCGTTGCTGCATTATCAGATCATGAAGGCAATTCGGGGTCGTTCAAGGACCCAGCGAAATAGGCCAGAGCTTGACTAACATTGGCTCAGTTCTCGAGATCTGTCACCGATTTAAGCGCCCGACAAGCCCCATTGACTGACGAAGACCCTTACCAGGTCATATGGTGCTTCGCAACATTTAATCACAGTTCTTGCCCCTTTTCATTCGTTATCCTTTCTTTCGCCCTTCCAAGAGGCATATTGCGGTGGTGTGCATTAATTGAGGTTCCGTTTGCAGACAGGGTGTACGAGGCTATCTGAACCACGATCAGCAGACAATCAAGGCTGACATTCAAGGCGCATCATCCGCCCAGCATGTCTCGCCAGAAGAAAGAATCACTGGGGAAGCAGCAGCTACCGCAGCAAAGCTCGTGGCTCGCGCACTTCTCCGTCGACCTGTTCGCAAAGATCCTCAAGCGGAGCATCTTCCACCCCTTCATCTGCTGGCTGCTCCCGCTCTGCCTGCGCGCGCGCACGGTGAAGTGGGAGAGCCCCCCGATGGTGGGCGCCTTCGCCTGGGCCGTCTTGATATCCATCGTCTGGCTGGCGGGGCTCGTCAACGACCGGGTGGCCCACGGCCCCCCCAGGGAGGTCGACCTCGGCGAGGAGGTCATCGTCATCACGGGGGGCGCGGGCGGGATGGGCCTGCTGCTCGCTGAGGTCTACGGCATGAGGGGCGCGTCGGTGGCGGTGCTGGACGTGGCGGAGATGGAGGACGCGGATGAGAGGGGCGTCACGTTTTACAAGTGTGATGTTGGCGATAGCGAGCAGCTCGCCAGGGTCGCAGCCCAGATTGAAGAGGATGTAAGTTGGCTAAGTCCCCGGGGGGTACGTTGGCTACGGAGAAGAGAAGGCTGTGACTAACACGGAAACGACAGCTCGGGACTCCTACGGTGCTCATCAACAACGCGGCGGTTGTTGCTGGCAGGTCCCTTTTGAATATCTCCATAGAGGAGTTGGACAAGAGCCTCAGGACCAACCTTGTGGCCCCATTCTACTGCATCAAGACGTTCCTCCCAGGCATGGTCCGTGGAGACCGGGGCGGGACCATCGTCAACATATCATCAGTCATCGGGCACCTAGGAGCTGCTCAGCTAGCCGACTACGCAGCTTCCAAGGCGGGCATCTCAGCTCTACACAAGTCTCTGACAGCAGAGCTCCGGGAAACGCATCCCGAGATACGTACGGTCCTCGTCACCCTAGGGCAGCTCAGCACGCCTCTGTTCTACGGGGTCGAGACGCCCAACAGCTTCATGGCGCCGGTCGTGGAGCCCGTGGACGTCGTCAAGGAGATGGTGAACGCCATCGACAGTGGGAGAGGCGCCACCATTGCGCTGCCTCTCTATGCGCGGTGGGTAGACTGGTACAACGTCCTGCCTGCCGGCCTCCAGATCATCGCGAGGAAGATAGCCGGGGTGGACCGAGGGATGAGGACGTTTAGAGGGCGTGGTGCCATCAGCGATTCAGAGATCAGCATCAAATAGACAAACTAAGTATTGCTGCTGGTTTTCTTTGATGAGACATGACAATGGCATGACTGTTCCGGAGCAAATGCGGCTTGCTATATTCAATCATAGGAAGTCGAGATCCACCCACTGCCCGGTGCACTAAACGCCGGCGCCGCACGCGCGCCACGTTAATACCACGGGTCGTATATGTACTCGATAGGTTCACCAGGATGCAGCCCCCCGGCCGGAACTCTCCACGGGATTCAATTCAACAGACCGAAACAGCAAATTTAAAGCTAATGTGGTGGGGTGGAGGGAGATGTTGGGGAGGAAACACACCCCTGGCTGTCTTGTCTGTCTTGGTGTCGCGCTGGTGCAGCTCTGCGGGCGCAAGAGACTCGCAACGGCCGTTGGCGCATGGGAAGACCCCTCCCCAGACCCTCCATCTCCGCGGGCAGACCAAGCAAAGAGACACGAGAGGCTTCTATGGGGAAGACGGAGCGGGTTGTGATAGGTTAGGAGTCGAAGGGAGGAGGGGGATTCCTCGTCTCTGAGTTTCGAGATAACATGTAAGCTAAGCGAGAGTGCAATTAGGCCCCGTGCCACCACATGTCGGCCAACTTAGATGTTGGCCGCGTCCTGGCTGCCTCTTCAACAGACGACAGCCGACATGCTCACCGAGTAATGTGTGATTGGTAGGCGGCGTCATGTCATGTTGTGATGCGAATGCAGCATGTCCATCCTGACGTGTTGGTGCCCTCATTACGCATGTTAACGGTACAGTGAGGTGGTTGGGTGGAAAGCAAATGACAGTCCGATAGTAATGATCAGACAACTGAGACATGCTGGAACAAAATGTGGACAATAGACAATGACCCAGTTTATAATTGCATATTGTTGAGATTATTGCTGTCAATTGACCAACCATAATAACTTACATGTCATTATTACCCATTTCGCCCGCTTACGAGGGCACCTGAAGTGCAGCTGCAGGGTCATGTTACTTCAACACGACGTCGGCAACAATTTGAGGGCAACAATACGCATTGCAACTCTATATAGGTAGTCGGGGTTGCAGCAGGTCAAGAAGCGAATGGTGCCCACGCGAGGCTGATGCTACAGCCATTAAATTTGTGCATACAGTTTAAGGCCTTTGGGCTGCTGGATGAGACTCAACGGCCGGCTCCGGGGACAGAGGCCAGGGTCTAGTCCTCGTCTGGCATCCGGCAGATCGGTGAAACCCCACTTCTGACCTCTGAACGCCCGCAGACACGCTGCGCAACCTAAACATGAACGAATGATGAGGAGGCGCACCCTCCGGCCTGGCTGGGCTGCCCGTGCGGATGGGCCGCTGGGCGGTGCTGGCTGCAGCGGACTGCGCTCTGGCCGAGACAGAGGCACGCACCAGCTTGCCACCACGCTCCGTCGTCGGCACTCGAGGCGTCGAGGCAGATAGGCACACGAATCGGCCAGCCTATCAATCTGGCCGTCAGGAGATTTGGGTTGGGGACGGTGCGGCGGCCTAGGCCCCATCGAGACTGGTCGGGGCCTGGCTGCAAGGCGAGGATTAGGATTCGCTTGTGCGTGCCGTCTGCGTGCTGCGGGTGGTTGTTGGGCGTGTTTTGTGCAGGACGGGCGGGCGCTGGTGCAGGCGGTTGACCAGCGAAGTTCTTATCAGCGCCCGTCAACGCCTTCGCGCCCCACCAATCACCGCCGGCCCCTCCATTCATCCATTCAGAAGCACCCCCGGGCGCTGGAAATTTCCAAGATAAGCCCTCCCCATCACCATTCCCAATCCATCCAGTCGTGCCCTCCGCTCTGCGCTGCTCGTCTCTGGCCCGGCATCATCTTGTGTGTGTGCAATGAGCTGGCAGGGCCCTTCCATCCCCCCCCCTCGACCCACACTCGCTCAGTCCTGTCCTGTCCTGTCAGGCCATCCGTCGACTTTGGATGTTGCTCCTCGCTCGGACGTCAAATATCTCCCTGGCTGTAGTCGCTCTTGGCTGAGGCACTCTTTCTTTTTGATATGACTATGCCTCTCGCTCTCCGCGTGCCCACGCTGAACTAGGTGCTAGTGGAAAGCCGCGCTCCTCCTCCTCCTCCGAACCATTCCTCCCCATCTTCTTTCTCTGCTGCGTATGGCTTTGTTTGCTCTGTCTTGCCTTTCCTGAGGGCGTACTGCTACCACCTCACAAGCCATTGCCAGTCCCGGCTTCAGTCTTGGCCTAGACTCAAAACTCTCGGCCCCTCACCCAAGGTCCCTTGTCTAAAGGCAATGCCCTACTGGGCCACGAGGTAGGCGAGAACATATCATGGGGCAATGGTGGGTCGCCCAGCGAATTGACGATACTGTCACCCGCCAGTTCGTCGAGAAGCACCTGGTTCGCGATGAGATAGAACTCCTCGACAAGCCTGTGGGCTTCAGCTCCGAGGCCTTGACCGAGAGGACCTACTGGGAGAGCATTCAGCAAAACGCCAAGCGCATGTTCCTGATCCTCGTGGACATCGGCCTGCCGGATCAGATATTCGGTATCGTGGACGATGGCTGGGAAGACGCTGAGCTTCCTCTTGCACCCCGCGACGTCGAGCGCCTGGAGCTCACGGCTGCCAAGGATGAGCGTGTGGATCGCAAGTTTTACCAGCGCCAGTTCCATTACCTCGTCAGGACAATCGAGGGTGGTGAGCACTACTCTTTCAGCGACCAGGAACTCGTTCCGCTCGACGTTGTTGAAAAGACTCCCCATCTCAGCTCCAAGGGAAGCCAGGTTGAGAAAGTCCGGCTCCCCAACATCCCAGGCAAGACGTTTATTCGCCGCAAGTACCAATTGGGGAAATTCCCAGAGGCCACCACAATGACTGAGTTCCTGGAAATGGTTAACGCACTCAAGAATATCCAGAACCGGCATCTCATCTCATATTGGGCGTCATACACTCACCAAGGCTTCAACTACCTCCTACTCACCCCGGTGAGCGACTTCAACCTCAAATCATTTTTGTCGAGCACGCCCTCCACCTTCAAGGCCCTGCCCAAGAAAACCCGGAGAGAGCTTGTCATCAACTGGATCCTTTGCCTAGTCGACACGGTCTGCTTCTTACACAGCAAAAACCTCTCCCACTCCTATCTCAAACCTTCAGCAGTCCTCTTCACTCAACAAAACAGCATATTTCTCGTAGACCCCACGAGATTAAGCTCAACCACATCAACATCCCAGGACGACAAGGCCTCTTTTGATCGTGAATGGTATGATTTTGCTGCCCCCGAGCAGTGGCTACGGCCGTCCGGACCCGGTAGCCCCCCATCTCGGAGATCAATCCTGGCTTCTCTGTCGGCTTCCCCCGAGGACAGTACACCCGGTATTAGCCAATTTGGAGGGCCTCGTGGATCGCCGGCGATGCCCAGTCCTGGCCAGCAAGCCGACATCTTTTCGCTGGGCTGCATTATTCTCGAACTTCTCTCGTACCTTCTCAAGCGTTCCGGTAATAAGTTCGCCACCTTCAGAGCCGCCAAACACAAGCAAGCAGGAAGAGGCGGCGCAGTTCTTGACTCTTCGTTTCACAAGAATCTCGACCAAGTGGAGCAATGGATGTCTAATTTAGCCAAGGATGCGTCCAAAAAGGCCTCGGACAACGATGGCGCCAATGTTTTTCGTGGATACACCCCGATCCTCCGCGTCGTGACTGAGATGCTCGCGGCCAGCCCATTCGAACGACCACCCGCCCACGAGATCCAACAACGCATTTATCAGATTCTCCGACAGAACTGTGGGATCAGCGAGCCGCACTGCGTCAATCACTATGCCGTGCCCGCCTCTCAAGCATTCCCGTTCCCAGGCCAGGTGCCGATTCACGATGCTCATTTCTACCGACAGCCCCGAGTCCTTCCAGCCCATCCATACAGCCACACGGGCGTTGCGTTCGGATCACCAGAGAGCCCTCCGCCTCTGCTACACCACCGGACCAACAGCAGCAGTGAATACTCCCGTCACAGCCGGACCAGCAGCGTCACAACAGGAAGTAGCGATAGGGATGATGGAATGGAGATTACCTCAGCTGCTTCCAGGGGAATTCCATCTCCACGGCCGATACGACCCCACCCCGACCGATCTAGAGTTCCTCTATATGCGAATCAAGTGCACCAAGGGCCTGTTTATAGTGGAGGTCCGCACCACTATGGATGAGAATGGAGGGCCTTTCAAGGATGATGCTATTGAAATTGGCGTCATAAGCCCGGGTTTTTCCTTGTCACGATTGTATCGCTTGGTGAAGGTGCTACTTGCCTGTTTATATGACACCAATTTGGGCAGTGTGCACATCCAAACGCGGGAGGGGCAAACCCACATCTCTGGTCACCCGCGAGTTACGAAACTGGATCTTGTTACTATAATTATATCGGCGATGATTACTAGGAGTTTCTTTATTTGTACGTGTTGGGGTTATTGGAGAACATCGGAATAAGGTACTTAACTGTTCGGCGAGGCGCTGCGTCATTGTCAACTTACTACTCAACTGAAGGACAATACTCTGGGACGGAGTTTTGTATTTTATGACGTCGTATGATTTTTTTGGATGCTGAAATGAAACCCTTTATGTTATCTCACGTCCCCCTCATTGCGTGATCAAATATGTAGCTGGGGTTGTGTACTTGTAAATGGAAAACAGGGGCTGGGTTGATGGTTTCTGGCGATACCCTATAGTCGCTTGTTTGTCTGCTGTTTCTCCCACCATCATGCAAGCTCCTGGATTATTTTTCTATTCAATTCGGGGCGAAAAGGTTATGTTTACCGTCGATAGGTGTAGCCGCCATTGTAATTCATAAAAATGGCAATGATGGGAATATGACGAATGAAACCCCCTTTAGCAAGTGCACTGATCATTGCAACAAAAGGTGCAAGACTTGCTCACATCGGCAACAAGGTGAACAAATTAACATGTAGTATTTGCATGTAGGAACTGAAATCTCTTCACAAAATATAGCTTACCCGCCACAAAGAGGATGTTGCCCTAGATCCCGACCGGATGATGGGAGCCATAACAAGCTTCTGTGCGACGTCCCACGCGGGAGTCTGTGCTTCCTCAGAAGCAGAGATGGCCAGTCGCAGCTGGATTCTTAACCTATACCGCGACTTCTCATGTGTGACGAGCACGTTGTAACAGGCAGCTTAATTTTAAAAAGGAAGCACAAAGATTGGGTCTTGACCTTGACCGCGGGTACCTGCCTCCTGCCCGCCTGTTTGCCTTATCCCCCAAGTCGGACCCAGCTCAGTTGGTACAACCTGGACAGGCCATCGGGAAGGCACGAGGTGAACTTCCCACTCCCATCTCTCTTGTAGCGAGCACTCAATTCTTCCTTTTCACCCTCTCAGCGATTTTTGATCCGCTATCCTCTCCCCTTCCCCTTCCCCTTCCCCTTGACCATCTGAAAACGAGCCTCGGCAACGCCCCAAGTGTTTCTTTGTTCTGGCTTCTCTTTTGCATGCAAACATCCCATTTTAAATCCTGTCCCAATCACTGAGCTCTTCTTGAAGCTGTATGAAGTGAATAGAAACAAATCCACGCCTCTCTCCATCTGCATTCTGTGCATGGTCACTGATCATCAATCAACGTCAAACACAAGCACTGGCTCCCATCACTCTCTGCTTCCCGTAGAATTTCCCATTGTCTCTTTGTACTTCCTGTGCCTAAATGTATTGGTGTCGGTTTGGCCTCGGCCTTCTGGGACTCGCTGGCCTGGCGAGAGCCCTTGATCCTGTGGAGGTTAAAGGGAACAAGTTCTTCAATAAAGATGGCTCTCAGTTCTTCATCAAAGGTAAGCTCCCCTGGAAATAGGGCATGCGCGCCTCGGCTAATCGTTTGAATTCAAAGGTGTCGCTTATCAGCTTCGTCCCGAGGATCCTCTTGTCGACACAGACCAGTGCAACCGAGACATCGCTTTGATGAAAGATCTAGGAGTCAACACCCTTCGAGTTTACCACGTCGATGAGACAGCCAAACATGACGGATGCATGAATGCTTTTGCCGATGCCGGAATCTATTTGCTGATTGACCTGGACACGTTCGATACGTATGTTATACCGGTATGTCTGATTTGGTGTTCGCAAGTGGTGGTGTTTAGTAATATGAGAAGCTGACGCGAGCAATAGCCGAACCAATGCTGGAGTACCAGACAATATGACCGATTTTCGAGCGTAATGGACACCTTCCAGGCCTACCCGAATGTCCTAGGCTTCTTCATCGGCAATGAGAACATCGCTAGAAAGGAGGACTCAGCCGGAGCGCCGTTTCTTAAAGCTGCCGCCCGAGATATGAAAGCGTACCGAGAGAAGAAAGGTTACCGGAAGATTCCCATTGGATACTCAGCAGCAGACATCAAAGAACTACGCCCAATGTTGCAGGAATATCTAACCTGTGGAGGTAACGCATCTGAGACGATTGAATTCTTCGGTATCAATTCGTACTCGTGGTGTGACCCAAGTTCCTACGAGGAGTCGACTTACAACCAACTCCAAGAGCAGGCAAAGAACTTTCCTGTGCCTATCTTTTTTACTGAAACGGGCTGCAACGTTCCTGGTCCGAGACTTTGGCATGACCAAGACGCTATTTTTGGGCCTCAGATGGTCGGAGATTGGAGTGGTGCTGTTGTTTATGAATGGATTCAAGAGCAGAACAATTACGGAATGATATCATACGGTCCGCCGGTCGGAGACCCTACTCGAAATGATGAAACCGTATTCGACAACTGGTCTCGGAAAGGTACACCAACACCTGTCACGCCAGATTATTCCAATCTCAAAGAGAAATGGGCGAGTATCAAGCCTACAGGTGTCAAGAGGGATGATTATGATCCGAGCCATGTGTCAACCAGAGCTTGTCCGAGTTCAACGGAAGGGGGGTGGTGGCAAGTGCCTGGAAATGTCAGACTTCCTGCATTGGGTGAGACCATGACAAGTTTGGCGGCGTCTCCGGTTCTAGTAAAGGGAAATTCCAACAACGGAGGATCACCAGCAGACGGCACCGGAGGTATAACATCCTTCCCATCGGTGACAGAAGCTGCGAACAAAGGAGGGGGGCATTCATCTATGAGTGCCTGCAGGCGAGCTATTATACTTGCATTGACTATGGTTGCTACTCTTGTACAACTATTGTCTTAGCTTTGATGAGTCAAACCAGGGCGGAAAGTGTCTGGAAGAAATTTTGGAGGAATATATTCGACTAGAATAATAATGGGAAGTGGAGGGGAATTTAGAACCAACTTCACACAAGATTTCACCGCCCTGAGCTCGAAGGAGTTGGCAGAAGGAACATTTAGGAGTATAGATCTGCCAGCTTTAAAGAGAGGCAGCAACCGAAACCACCGCCATTACCACTGATATCCCCAGAGACAGTCCAAGTCCCATCTTTAGAGGAGTCCCACTCTTCTTCTGTATATCTTTGATAGCTTCCCCACTCATAGAAAGGGCCAACTCTCCAAATTTAACACTAATAAATGTGGTGCTGTTAACTTGGGCTGTCGATGTGTTCATCATGATGCCCCCGGTCACTCCCTGACCTACAGATGAATTCACATCATGATACTTGGATGGCTGGATGGCGATAGTTGTCGCGGATTCGTCCTTGTTGCTGGAAGTGGGAGTGAGAATAGAACCTGGTTCTCGAATACATCCGCCCAGAGAACAATCCCAACCCTTGGGGCAGCAACCGCCACCCTCCTTTGCAGAGCATGGGGTAGTTTCGGCAACGCATCGTGGAGGATTCTCATGAGATGTAACACAGCTTTCCTTAGAGCCGCAGCAATGAATTCCCGATGGTGAGAAGGGATCAAATCGACAACTTGTTTTCAAAGGGCAGCAGAAGTCCTGAGCCAGAAGTCAGTACAACGCACGAAATACCTCTGAACCCCTCTCTGTTACGTATCTTCCTTTCAAGAGGATGAAAAAATGAGGAAGTATATGAAGATAGAGATGAACACACCGGTTTATCTACATTCTTGCAGCTACCGAACTGCCCCCTGCATGTCTGAAATAGGGAGTCGTCCTTGAGGGCAGAGCCTGACTGCTGTTCCAGATTGGAAAACTTTGGAATGGGGTCGTCGTCGTCGTCGTCGTGGTTCGAGGAAGGCCCCCAGGCGAAGTGGAGGGCAATGTTGATGACGAGCGCCAGGATTATGGAGAAGAACAGGAAGGTGAGCAGGGCCATGAGAAAGTAGCGGAGGCGTTGGCTGTAGCGGTGGGTGCTGCGCCCCCACGGCTGGCGGGTGTGAGCCGGGCACTGCTTTTTGTCGATCATGGTGTTATGCTGGGTAGCGAGAATGGAAAGTATGACATGTAGAGATGTGATATAGGTTGTTTGGAGGGTTGAGGGGCGATGAGAGATGTGATGAATTGGTCTGGAAGAGTGGACTGCGGGCTTAAGATGATGGATTTGAGCTTGGGTTTACACGTGCTTTCCTCGGAAGACAGTTGTTGAGTTAAGGGAAGGGGGGAGGTGCTGGCGCGCTATAATGAGTGTTGCTTTGAGAAGGTGCCTCCTTTTGGGTTGAAGCATTCGGGGATTGGGAGAATGGAATACACACAGCCTATACATGGATGAAATAAATGTGTAATTGGAGACTTCTGACGAGGAATAAGGGGTAAGTACTCTCGGCAGCTAATATAAGCTGAATTTGGCTGGACCAACTGGCAGCTTGGTGTTGTTGGCTTGCATCTTTATGACATTGCAGAAGTATTGAATATATGAACTCTATCCAATCGCAATTGAAGCAACATGAACATGGTTCCTGACGGGGGACACTCCGTTATAGCTTAGCGACAGCGATATCTAGGTAGATATGATCTATAATTTAGAGTAAATCCCGGAGAATCTGATTGAGATAGGGCACGCATGATGGCTTGTTCATGTTATGTCTCATGAGAATCCTCTACGATGCGTTGCCGGAACTACCCCATCCTCTGCTAGAGTAAAATTTACCTGTTGCTCTCTTAATGCACCATTGCGGGGACTTGGTTCGAGTGTCATTGGTGAAGGCTTCGACAATGGGGTTGGTCCAATACAACTCAGAATGAGGAAATATCAAAAGTTAGGGGTTGATCGTGATGTTCTAGCACATATCGTGTTTTGTAGGTCTAGTAGATATGGCGGCCAGGTCAGTCTACCATTCGACTTGAACGCTTGATCCGTATGTCGAGTCCAGTAGGGTCGTGGGATATGATGGTGCGTGTAGCTGTCTCGTACCTCTCCCATCTTGTAGACTATTGATGCCAATTTAGATCTTTTCCTTCTACCTTGATTAACACCCATTGAATTACCTACCTCACGGCGCATTGATCACATTAAAGAACTATGATTAGCGTCTCAGCCATAGAAGAGCGAAGACCCACATCAAGATCATCTCCATTTTCCTCGAGAAGATAAGATAACAATCCAAGCCTGATACCAGCCACCTGATGGCCAGGCCAACAATGCACTGTCTAGATCTCCAGAGCCTTTGTATAGAGAGATGTAGACAATATATCATTCAATTCAGTGATTATCATATGACAATAAGAAAGATGGGCAATGATAAGTGGGTGAATTAGAACATTGCCATTTGAGGATGATTACGTAGCATTGCATTAATTTTTGCTTAGTTTTCCACCGCTGAACTTTTTGTGTATCTCTCTGATCAATGTTTTGGGGCAGGATATAAGGGCAGCGGGACTGCCTGACTCAGCAAATTTTCTGCGAGAGACCGCCTCCAACATCCCGCATCAGTCGATTGAGACTCGAGATAACGCAGCAGACCCCCCTCACTTGCGCTGGGCAGCTCTTTTCCTTGCGCCGGTTGACCAGATCGACTTCTACTTTCCGACACCGAGCCAGGCTCCCCGATCCAGATGCGATTCATCCTCGATCGCGGAGGCAATTGGCAATGATGGCAGAGACAGCGCCCCTCCAGGCAAGCACTGCCCTCTCCCCAGCAGGTGCGACGAATTGCATTTCCTTTTGTCTAAGCATCGCCTGGTTCAAAATCCATTTGCGACTTTCCTTGTGGTGGCCTCTTTAGCACACCCACGCCTTTGACGTGGAAGCAACAGCGCCCCTCTCCATCTGATTATTTGCGACATGATTTTGGCCCTTCGATATCTGATCTGACTATTGCTATCATAGGAGGAGTAAAAGAAGAAATGCCACACGGCCTCGAGGGCTTTGATTTCTTTCTGGCGTCCGAAACGGCTTCCAAACGGCCCCTCATGTCCTTTGGCGACACCGATCATGATCTAGACGCGAAAAGGCTGAAGAAGGAGGCAGAGGTACCGACAGAGGCCGAGGTATCGTTCGAGGATGGCATGGATCTCTTGGTCCAGAATGCGCTGTCCAACATCAATGACCTTATGGGCCAATTGGCCGATGAGCCCGACATGTCAGCTGTTGTGCCCACCACCGAGCCGGACCCAGCCACAGATCCCATGGACCTCGACGTATCTCAAATTCACGATTCACTGCCTCCTGCGCCTGCAGTTTTCCTGTCTGAGCCCGAGAAATTCGTGCGCCAGGCGAATATCAACGCGTTGGGCATTCTGGTCCGTCTGGAGGTCCCTTGATGTTTGCGTATACTTCTGTGCTGATTCCGAATACTATAGGCTATGTCGGTCCTGCTCACGCTGTCGCAAAAGCCGTTCGAGGAGGCGACCCGGAAGCTCCAAGATCCAATGTCCGACCATTCATGCTCCTTACGCAAGCTCCGGACGAGTCTCGAGGCAACAAGAAGTCTCTATTCGCCAGGCCCGATATTGTTCGCCAGCGAATTCGAAATGACTAGCCACGATTCGCAGACGATCATTCTGCTCTCCAACCTTGCACAAATCGGTCTATGGATATTGGACGGAGATGCTTCGTCGATGCGTGAAGCAGAAATGCACATGATGCCGATTTTCCGTGACCCTCTCGTAATACTGCCAAAGAAGTTGTCAGATTTGTGGGTAGCTATCAAAACCCAGCTGGCCATTGAAGACCTCCAAACAAAAGATCCCGCAAGGTCATTCGACGAACAGCTCAACTTCTCACTCCTCGAAGGATTTGAGCTTAAGCTCAAGGACGGACAAGCCGATCAAGAGCTGTCGGACTCCTCCCAGGAACTATTATCATCTCTGAAGTTTCGCAAGGATGAGCTGCTCAGGCTTGCCCAGTCAGAGCTCGGGCTTGGTCAGTGCTGTATCCCGTAAACTTGGTGGCTTGTGATAAAGTGGTCTAACACATCGAACAGCTGCTGTAAGAAACTCGTACCCACCAGAAAACGCAGTCAGGACGTTTAGTATATGTGCCAGCGAGCAGCTCGTATCAGCAACACAGCTTGCACAGACATTCGGACTCTCGATTCCGACTCCTACCGAAGAGGACGTTCTGCATGGGCTTCCTGGGGCTACTGATACAGGTGAAATTGACATGGATGATCTTGATTCCTTCTTCGAGAAAACTACCTCGGGTCTAGTACAGAGTGCGTTGGCTGGTTTCACAGATGAAGAGCCACAGCCAGCACCAGCGTCAGTACCGACGCCGACACCGGCACCGGCGCCAGCCAGTGAACCTGCGCCAGTCACCACCACCACCCCCGTTGCAGCCGCCACTCCTGCTACTCCTACAATAACTACGACAAAGCCTGAAGCTCCGACTCCGACACCGACTCCTGGAAGCTACATTACTGATTATAAGGAACTTGAAGCTCTGGTTGCCGAGAGTACGTCGAATTATGTCAAGACAACTCTTCAGGGGCTGTCACCTGCTCCTTACCAGCCGACAGTACCTACAAGTACAGGTGGGAAACACTCAGTGCTACCGAGAAATGATGATGTCGTTACTGACTTTGTGCCAGCGGAGAGCATGGCTGCCCAATCGTCCAGCTTGTTTAGTCACCTGCATCAACAGCATGCTCAACACTCTTACTACACCTCCTTGTCGCACGTTGTACCCGAACCGCAGCCTCAGCACCCCGTGACCGGCGAAAACTTACCACCAAATCAATCATTCCCTAGCGCAATACTATATGATAAGGCTAGACAAGCAGCATTGTCAAAGACTACAGCGCATACTCGTAGAGAAGGTCTCCATTCTACTCGCCGCCCCTGGTCTCAGGAGGAGGAGAAGGCGTTGATGGCAGGTCTTGATATGGTGAAGGGCCCCCACTGGAGTCAAATCCTCACTCTCTTTGGGCCAGCTGGTACTATATCAGACATTCTCAAAGACAGAACCCAGGTGCAGCTGAAAGACAAAGCTCGTAACCTGAAACTGTTCTTCTTGAAAACCAACTCAGAGATGCCTTACTATCTTCAAGCAGTTACGGGGGAGCTTAAGACCCGGGCACCTACACAGGCTGCAAGAAAAGAAGCAGAAGAACGGGCGCGGCTAAATTCGGAGGAAGATCAAGCCAAACTACAAGGAATCATGGCCCTGGCGGGTGGTTTGCAACACCCTCCTCAAAACCGGGGAGCGGCCGGCTCTGTATCAGCAGTTGGGTCGGGTGTAGTTACACCTGCTCAATCAGCTGCGCAAGTAGCAGGGCAACATCCTGGTGTGAACAATCAGCAGGGCGTGAACGGGTATGCGGCAACGCAAGCTTCAGCTCGACCCGGAATCCAGACTACAAGCCATCAAGCAATACACTCTGCGGCCCAGCCCACTGCCAGGCCTCAGAGTCAGCTACCTCCACAAGTACCTCGGCCCCAGCCGCAACAAGCTGCCACGCAAGGGATGCAAGCAGCCATGCAGCAACCCGTCCAGCAGAACCAGCAAACTATGGGACAGTACGGCCAGCAACCAACTCACCATCATTTGCAACACCAGATGCACAGGCAGGCTTCCACATCAAGACCTGCCACTCCCCAAACGCCCTCTCACCACCGCCAAAGCTCTGGAACGCCTACTCCAGGCCCTGTAGCTGTATCTACACATAGTTCTCCCGTGCCCGCCGCGCAACCACAGCCGCAGCATACTCTGAAACTCCCGACGCCGCCCCAGCCCCAAATGTCGTACCCTCCGGTCACTCAAGCTACACCCGTAGAACCCATTCAACACACGGAGTCACATCCCACGGACCTGTCAAACGACAACGCCGCCGAGGCTGCTTTACTCCAAGGACTGCAGGCTGCTGTGGCGGAGGCCACATCGTGAAACTTTGCCATGTCTCCAAATCGCAGGACGTGGAAACATGTATCCTCATGCTCAACATCTGCCAGGCATCTGGCAGCGTTTTGAAGCCATGTGAGATATCTCCCTGCAGACATGACTACTCCCGGTTCCCGGCGTGACTCACGTCACACTTCTGTTACCTGGTTTATACAAGCTAGGAGTCAACATTCATTCCTTTTTACTTTATTATGTTATCTATCAGCGAAAAGTCGAATTATCATAGATGGGGTACGATACCAATGGATATGGCGAAACGAACGAGAGGTTCTTTGAGAGACAAAGGAAAAAGAAACATTGGAGTTCTGGCGTTTTACCTTGGATTGATATTCTCCAAACCGAATATATCTATATTATTCACCTCATCACACCCAAGGACCCAGGGGCTGTATATATAGTTTTACTGAAAGCGTTTTCCACCAAGCGATTTACTGCCCCCTTCCTCATGCGTACCCAAGGACCTGATCAGAGTGACCTTGTGGTGTTTGCTTTGCGTGGTACTGTGCACCTTGGTGAATCATGGATGCCTGTTATTTGCATAGGAAAGGCCACTCCCAACGTAGCCGTATCCCCTAGTGCTACGGTTATGTAACTACGGAGCGTCTACGCCGATATCTGTCACCACAGATCCTACACCGACTTTAAAGGCTCATGACGTGCTATCTCGTACAACTACAACTTCATGAGGCTGACGGATGGTTAGTATAACTCGAAGGGCGAGTTCGGGTTACCCCCTTCCATCATCCCTCCTCGTTCCCCTGGAACCTTTTCCCTTTCACAGCGAAAATAGACCTTACTACGAAAAGTCTCTCATTCAACCATTGTGACCAGAAAAACGCCTGATTTCATCACTGCCTACCGTTGGCCTAACATGGCCAAAATATAGGCAAGGCGAGCGAGATTTACTCCAACATGCGACCATTCCAACCGGTCTACTACCAGCACATCAGGCCGCCCGGGCACATCATCGCCCGGAACCATCCCCAGCGGTGCCGGGCGCAGGGGACTGTTTGCAGGAACAGGGTGTACGTGACGCAGGTGGACGGCAGGATCTACAGGTCGCCGCACTGCGAGCACCATGCGTGCCGGTCGGTGGATGGTGGGCATCTGTGCCCGATACAGAAGATGCCGTCCAGGTATAATTACTGTGATGACCGTGAGTGCTGCTCTCCTCTGATTCCCTCTCGCCTCCTTATGGTTTTGAAGTATGAGAAGTGGTTGACAGGTCCGAAGATCTGCAGTGTACTGCGATGGAGCGAGGTGTACGCTGTAGCCACCATGTGAAGGACGACGATCCCAACCGGAGCGTTTACTGCGCACAGTTCCGTGAGTTTCCCAGAGAGAATAAGATATCAAGCACATGGAAGGGGGAATCCCACAACTAACAGCCAGAGCAGACCTCTGCTGCGCGGACAAGTGTAAGAAGCGGCGCGCCTGTCTCGAGGGCCAGGACCTCCGATACTGCGCCGACCACCGGTGCCCTAGCAAAGATTGCCAAGAGGTTAAGAGCTCGGGGCCATTTTGTACAAAGCATACCTGCGGATTCGAGAGCTGCCAGTGCGGCGTGGCCGGCGGCGGGGAGGGGCCCGCGGACCCCAAGCGGTTCTGCGACAGGCACAGGCGGTGCAAGTCGGCGTCGCACTGCACCATGTTCTGCCACTCGCGGGAGAGCGGCGTGGTGACGCCCTTCTGCAGCCGGCACTACTGCCAGGTGGACGGGTGCCAGAAGGAGAGGCTGGCGGGCTGCCATTGCGTCGACCACCAGTGCGTCGACGTCGGCTGCGACAAGGGGAGGATGGTCGGGAGGGGCAGGTTCTGCGAGGAGCACGGGTGCCGGCATCAGATGTGCGACCAGCATAGGCGTGGGCAGCACTTCTGCCCGACGCACGAGTGTGGATGGGACGGGTGCGAGCTGGAGGCGAGCTCTGAGCAGTTCTGCCTCAAGCACCGGTCGGTTCTGGATACGATGCGGTGCGGGAGGATTCATGTGCATCCGCGGGCTCGGGGCCATGGGAGGAGGTGTGGGAGACACGGGGGTGATGGTGACGATGGTGAGTTTCGAGAGACCTCTTATATGACCGTCTACTGATTATGATGATATAGACGAACCGCGGTATGTCTACGACTGCCCAGAGCACGGCTGTCGATGCGAGAGACAAGCTACGAGGTGCGTCTGCTACTGCGAGACTCACTTCTGCGGCAAGCCTCAGTGCTCAGAGCCACGAATCCATTCTTTCCGGTATTGCGCCTTGCACAAGTGCGCCGTGTCAGACTACCCAAGCGAGCCGTCCGGCCATGGACATCATCACGACCTCTCCCCGTTCTGCGAGAGACACACGTGCGGGACGGCGAGCTGTCGAGGCTTGGTGATTGGGGACTCGCGATACTGCGCGGAGCATCTGAACAACCCCCGAGGACACCAGAGTAGAATGGAATATCATGGGCCGTGCTGTAGGGAGCACGGCCATCCAGCAAGAGTTCGATGGGGTGGCCGGCCGAGGTTTGCTGGATGCGGGAGGCCAAGCCGCTCGAGCTCTGTTGGGTCGTTTGCACTGGGGCTTGTGCCGGACGAGTCTGACTATTAGCATGTAGTAGTAGGTATAATAGTAGCCAGTTATAAGGTGGCCTGTCGCCCCCTTACTTCTATTAGGTTGATCAATGCAAGAAGTGGTGAGGAAAATTGGGTGCTTGGACTATCTTGTTTCACAGCCTGGCTTTTTGGGTTCACTGACCACCACCAGTGCTGACGTTTCATTCAATCAAAGTAGGCCCATGCAAAGGGAATAGCTAGCAGGGAAGGCCATCTCCCTTGAGCTTGGACGGAGGATGATTGTTCTAGTCATTCCACTGGATGTAGGGGGTTGTATTGGCTGTACTTGTCAACTCCCTAGATTGGACAATAGACCCGTGGATCGCCATAGCAGCTTAAAATAGGGTTCTTTTGCTCACCCTCCTTTAGAGAATATCCATGTTGTTGGATGGTAATGTGCATCTCTGACAAGAAACATGCATCCCGGTTCAGTTGGCTGGGTGATATGTATGACACAGTCGTCGGTTGCAGGCCGAAGTGGTTGCAGAAGCCGACTTGGAGGGGGGATGATACCACAGTGAGAATCCGGATGACATTCACACAGTGCACATTCTGCAAGGGACCTGTGTTACCACAAGCGTGGGGAGGGCTCACATGTAACTATCTCAAACTGGATAGTGCGAACTACTCTCCCCTTCGCGTGCTGCTCGGCATCAACTGACTTCACCACCAGGGACCTTCCGCCCATCTCATGATATTGTCTAAACTAGCTGCCGGCCTTGCATGATGCCTCGCATATTGATCGGCTCTGCCCACCCCCTGGCAATTCGAGCCTTGCCTGGGCATCGCAAGCCACCAGACAGCCAGCCCATCAGCGAGCGCACGGCGCAGAGCTTATATGCCCATAGCGCACCGCCGCCATGTGACAATGTGAGAAGGCTACCACTAGTCTTTCGAGGCCTTCACTCAGCCCGGTGCCTTGTATGTATGATTTCTCGCGCGGTGTCGAGCATGACCAATGAGACATGTACCATGCCGGCCTGCCTCGTGGGTGAGGCCCAGCCATGGGGGGAGGCTCGTCTACGAGCGCACAAGGCTCGGTGATGAGCCAGCCTGACCATTTGGGCGTGCCCTTGCTGCCTCTCTTTGTTCGCTTTCTGCGTCGGCGTGAAACATCCAAGCTCCTAGGTCGAGGCTTGGGGAGCACGTTGCTACGCCAAATGCCATGGTCTCGTGTCGTGTTGCTCGTCTACGTTAACAAAGAAGACTGGCCCCTTATAAGACGACGACGTCTTCAGAGTGTAAGCCGAGCTAGTTCCCGTGTTCTTTTTTTGCTCTTGTCTTAATTACCATAATCTTTTGGAATAGGAACTGCCTTCGATTTTGATAATCCACAGTATTTGTTTGCGAAACAGGCCCCAAAGTGAGACGGCAACGATAAGCTCAATAGGCTAACATCCTCGATCATGTCGAGGAAGCTATACTATGAGACGGACTCTTGTGGGAAGGGGCAGTTCGTCAAGCTCAAACGATCCCGCTCTCATGGACACAAGCACCACCGCCATCACCACCATCACGTTGTCCATGATGACATCCCGCAGGAGTACGTCGGCCATGAGTACTTCATGATCAAGCCGGAGGACTGGAGGGTGATGAAGGAGCGCGACCGGATCCTGACCGACAACAACGAGTCTCTGACCAAGGAGAACGGGGACCTGCGAACCAGCCTCACGGCTGCCCAGGCTGACGTGCGCCAGCTCAACGACGTGGTCCTCCCGGACCTTCGCTGCCAGATTAGTGCTCTCCAGGCGGAGAACCAAGCGTTGCGATGCTCACTCGAGAATTCCGGGGAGCACCACCACGAATTGGACCGACTTCGATGCAGGATCACAGTCCTGGAGAAGGAGAATAAAGAAGTTCTCGAGACCAACGCGGACTTGAGATCCAGGGTGCGGGAGCTGTCACGGCAACTGGACCAGAACTCCAACCGCAGAATATCCGAGCTGAACACGGAAGTGGAATACTGGGGGGAGAGGGCTCGGTATTGGAGGGGCAAGTTTGAGGATCTGGACAAGAAGTATCATCGGCTCCGGAACAAGGGGACCTCCTGTCGGGTCGAGAAGGTGGACACCTACGAGGATTTCTGGCGACGTCATTACTACATCTGATCCCCGTTTTCGTATTTACCATATTTTTCATCACGCTGTTTTTTTTCTTCATCACAATTTACCCCTCCCTGGAACTGAGGAATGATAGTCCAAGACTGGGTGGCTACTCGTGGTGCGGCGACGGTGATGGTTCCCATTGGTTGTCACCTGCATACACCAAATGGCCATCCTGGACGATGTGCCCAATGTGGGATCCCTGGATGCTGTCTCTTTACGACTGATGAGAATCAACGAGAAGATGCGCGTTTCCCAAGAATGATTATGCGATGGGTCACAGGTGGCCCGGTTTCTTTGCTCATTGTCACTGTTCCCTCGTGGGTATAGATCCTGATCGGGGGATGTAGATAGCTGAATTGATTCTTTTGCTAAGCCCCCAATGTACAATTCTGTCCTTGACTGCCTAGTCAGACGCCGAAGCGCGCCGGGCCGCGAAGAGGCTACCTTGTTAACTGGGGAAACCAGGAGCGGGAGCGTTGGGTCCAACGAGGGGATGGATCACGACGAAGCCTGGGCGAGTGGCAGCCCAGGCAGACATGCGAACCATCTGTTGGGCGGCCCCCCAAGAGGACCTCCACATACCCTTCACGAGACCCTGTGAAGCACTGTGCTGAGCGCACCTGCGGTTGCATGCAGCGGCCTCATGACCATGAGGGGCATACATGAGGATACTTTGCCTATCAGACGGCGGCATCGCCCTCTCCACCCATCAGCCCTACATTAAGCCAGGATTACCAGGGCGACGATCTCGAGGGGGCCAGTAAACAAAGTACTACGTCGTACCTCTGGGGAGGATGCAGGGAATTCTGTCACGGAGCGGATATCCACCTGGGAGGGATCCCACATGGAAGGGCGCACATTTGTGCTTCTGCTGCATGGACGGGGGCTGTTCACACCATCACCTCGTGCTGGGTCGCGAGGCTGGGTGCCCTCCACTGCGCTGCGTGTGTGTAGAGTGTGTGCATACGTCGCGTTTCATGTTTTCTCCAGCGATTTGATTCCACATGGGAACACATGGCAAGGAAAATTTTTTCCTTTCCTTTCGATGGAGGTGAGGTTGCTATTCTTAAATTACGGGAGCGTGGCCAGGCTAATTTCATCACACAAGTCAGCACGGCGTAGGGGGCAGAGAGACAGAGCCAGGCTCTCTGAGAGCTGTGAGTGGTCACCAGCAGCCAGAACGACGACTATGAGTCACACTCATCAGCGCGTGTGGTGGTGGTGGGCAGCCTCGAGCCCTTCTGGTTGCGAACCAAGCCCTTGCATGCGAGGGAAGGGAAGGCAGCTAACCAGCGCCAGCACACTGGTACAGCCACTGCACAGCCAATAGTGCTGATAACCCTACTCTCTCTCTCTCTCTCTCTTCCATGCCGCCCCCCAACAACGACGCCCTCTGCCCGGCCTTGTTGTCTCCTGCCACATTTCTTTTTTCAGCTGCGTTGGCTGCATTGCCTGCTGGGCGTTCTGGGATGGGCGCGTGGCCGACCCGTTCCGATCCCACATACTACCTTGGCAACAGGATGGATGCCGTTCCATCGCATGAAGTGGGTGGAGGGTGGCCTTGCCCTTTGAGCGGCTGGTACCTACGGCTGGACGCACATCATTCTGCGGGTGTGTACCGCATAGCACCAGCAGGAATGTGCGGCCAGTGTGAGGCCGTGCCTGCCAGATGGTGCCTGCCAGACCTGCCTGGTTGAGACGTGATGACGTCCATGCCTTGCGGGGTGCCTGTAGTACGAAATTCCACTGAAAGAGAGTCGGTCTGGGTCTGTACGAGCGCACTAACGGCCGTCGTTATGTGGCAGTCGTACGTGTAAGTTCTGCATACCAGTCTGGTTTGCTTAGCAATGGACGCCACTCCTCATGCTGACGAGACCGTGAACGTGAAGCAATTGCTCGTACAGCCTTCCAAGGCATGCGCCGTGTGAGCGAAAGTGTGTGTGTGTGCTATTTTTTCCACTTTCCCAAATCACACCCCCTCCAAGTCTGTGCGGGAGGAAGCTTATACAGAGGGAAGAGAAAAATTTTCCCTCTCATTTCTCTCCCGGGGCCTTGGGTGCCTAACGAGACAAGGCGCCCCCTGCAGTTCAGCTGGTAGTCCCTGCCCAAGATGCTTTAACCCGACTGACGGGTATTCGCAAAAGATGCACGAAAGAAGCTGCCCTCCCTTTTGGCCATAATAATACCCCTTGATATCATTCTGGACAGCACCGGACCTGGATCCGGCTACGAGGGACCACCGCTAGCACCATCCAGCTGTTTCAAGTTTCATTTTTCTCTCTGCCCAGCGCGGCCCGGGAGGCACACAGACTGGTGCAGCAACAGGAGCGGGCAGGCACAGCCAGGAATGGCGCTAAGCCGGGGTAACTGGCACCGGGCTGCTGCCCTTCTCCTCACCCTTCCGGTTCATGCCATTGCTATAGGCAGGACCTGCGGAACGACGCACATGCAGTGGTCAGGACGTTGGATGGTGCCTGCCGCATGCGCTCGTGGCTTGAGCGTGAAGGAGTGAGTCATTCGCCCAGCGATGGGCGGACGTGTGCCGTGGCCGCGGTTCTAATTATTCCCACGTTGCTTAGCCTGCAGCTGTAGCAGCCCTTTCTCTCTCTGCTAAGCAGGGCATTGCATTCGCTCTGTTTCTGATGCAGGTCCTCTCCCTCGTCCTGCGCCCACCAAGATACTCCGAATTTCACGCAAATGTGATTTTCCTCCCTCCCACCCTTTTTCCCGTCTCCCGCCCCTCGCTGACGTTCTGCGCCCTCCTCTGTTCCCGCGGCCAATGCTACCTTGCCCCTCCCCAAGCAGACGCCTTTCTTCCACTTTGCCAAATCTTGATCCACCAGGACAAGGCACCCTTCACCTGTCTAGTTCCCGGTTTAGTTCCCGTCCTCCCTGCGCCGTCCATTCCAGCACAGAAGAGACAGCACTCTAGGCCCGCCCCGGGGACCCAGGAATCCACCCTGCGTTTTTGCCTAATTAATTTTATTTTCTTCTTTTCTTCTTCCTTCAGTTTTTTTTTCGGTGCGAGTAAATGCCTGTTTCGCACCCCGGCTGTGCCAACCCGAATCTCTAATTTGGCCGTCCCCATATCTCGATTTTCTCCTCCCACCCCCCCAGCCTGCTTCCCATACTTGATTTCTAAGATTTCTTAGGGAGAGGGTGAATTTCTGGAACGGCGCAGCTAAGCACAGACCTCAGAGGGTGTGCAGTAGATACAACCTGGCTTCCATCCCTACACCTCCTCTTCTCGCTAGCGCCACACTGCCTGCCCACAGGACGAAATTATATATATGTGGTACAATTCCTGGCCTCACCTTTTGCATCCCTTTTCCCTTCCGCCTTGCATTTGACGATACCTTGCTTGATACATATTGGGCACACATACTGGAGTGCCTTCCATTTCGCCGGTGCTGCACGACACTGAAGCCCTCGGTTGGGCATCGTTGCATTGTTACCTCGCGAGGCCATCAAATCACTATCCGCCACTAGCCACAGCCATTGACCAGTCATGCCTTCGCACAGCAGAAGCTCCTCTACCTCCGGCCGAGACTCTAGCCGGAGAGCCAGCGACGCCTCTGAGCACTCGGGTTCGTCCTGTCGTCGCTCTAGTTTTAATTCAAAAGTGCATCCAAGGCTAACTCGCTCCCCTACAGTTCAGGATGTTATCCAGGAGTTGCGCGACGAGCTCAAGGACGCAAACACCGCCCTGAACAAGGCGCGCGGGGAGAGAGACCGCTTCGAGAACCTCAACGAACAACTGCAGAAACTCCTGTCCGCCGCAAACAACACCATTGCCGACCAGCGTGCCGAGCTCGTCGAAGTACGGGAGGAGAGAGAGCGCCATAAGGAGGAGGTCCTTCAGGCAAAGGAGGACTACGAGGCCCTTCTTGCGTCGCAGGAGACCTGGATTGAGAAGTACACCGAAATTCAGGATCAATACGACGGACTCGTCTCCCGATACAGCTCTTCGATCAGCACACCGCCCTCAAGCAACTCCCCACTGAGCTCACCGCTCCCCGACCGCAGCAAACTTTCTCGCTCTAGCAGCAAGAAGAACCTCCGTGAGCACCGAGACACCCACGAGCACCGAGAGAACCGTGAACACCGAGAGCATCGCGAGCACCGCGAACACCGCGACCGCGACCGCGATCGCCGCGATGATCGAGGCCGTGGCCGTGATCGCCCTGAGAAGGAGAAGCGAGAGGTCAAGGAGTCCAAGGCTCAGAAGGCCGAGAAAGAGCGTCTTTCCAAGCGATTCGGGTCGCACGGTAACTCTGAAGAAAAACGGCCACCTACTTCGGCTCGCCGCAACAGTGTCGTGGACACCAAGCGCAGCGCCCACAGCCGCTCAACCTCGACAAACCCTAACAACCGCTACACTGTTCAACATCTCCATCCGCAGCAAACATTGGTCACTACCCAGCATGGCTATAGCCATCCCAACGTCCCTCGCACCCCAAACCCCCTAAACAGCCCTACCCGAGCCTACAGCAGCGGGGGTAGCACGGCTTATGATGACGAGGGCCACGAGGACGGCAACTATCACGCCTACCCCATCTCACGGGGTTAAACATTGCTCTCATATCGTGTTTACGCTCTCATGGTCTACGGCGCATGCTTAAAAAAAATTCATTTTCGTCAGCCGGACAACATCGTCCCTCACCTCCTGCAGTCTTGTACTCAGGATGACGGGTACAGTTCGGCGCATTTCAAGGTTTCTCTGGAAAGCATTATGTTACAGTCGGTTGGGTTTCTCCTATGTTCATTTGTTCTGATAGTTTTCATTTGTTTTGTCTCACCCAGTTCTTTGTTTTCTCCTTTGTTTTAATTTCCTTTGTCGGATGGATAGAAAGATACCTGTAACTATGGATTTGTAAGGAAGAGATGATACCACCTGGATTTGTTTGGGCACTTATATAGACTTTTGATTACGATGGTTCAGCAATGATACCAAATGTACGGATTGGACAAGATTTACGGATGGAAAGGAACAGCATATTCTGCACAGCATATTTCGCATAGAAAAATTTCATTTATTTTATTGATGTATTCCAAGACAAGGGCGCCTTCACAAGCACCACGACCTATTGAGTGACTGCTGGTTGATTTGACTCCAGGCCACAATGTTCGAGAGTGCCCTTCTCAAGCCCGGGTTGCAATCGACGACGGGCGGAACCAGCCAGGAATACTGCGGGGGAGGGGGAAATGGCCAGAGTGTTGCCTACAGACAGAGTGGCATTCTTCTCCCCCAGACCAGTCCATGCTGCTTCGATCGTAGCGTCCCAGGCAGCTAGGCAACCACCCGGATACTACCTCGATAATGTCCAGGCGCATGCCGGTCTCATGCAAAGAAGCGACTGACCTCCCACCCCCCATAACTCGTTTTCCGCTATGGCTCGATGTGGATATGGGTGCCGAAAAGATCCGTGAATCTCCGAGGTATTGGCTGTGTGTGTTTCCCGACCAAAATGTTTCCCTAAGCACACGGCTCACAAGCTTCACCCCCCGCCGGTCGTATTGGGAGTGGTGCCGGCTGCTTTGGCAGCAGATGCTGCCTGGGATGGCTTGTCCCCGCCGGCGGCAGCCTTGTTACCGCCTCCTCGACCTCGTCTGCCGCGGCCTGAGCTCTTCTCTGGCTTCTCTTGGGCGGGGGCGGGGGTCCCATTGGCACTCGCACTGCTGGCGGCGTTGTTGCTGGGGTTGCCAGAGCTCGAGCTCCCGGCCTGGGCTGGTGGGGCGGGCGCCTTCTTCTCCTTGCGCTCGAGGACCTGGACGTTGGCTTGGCCGACGGTGACGGGGCTGGCCGAGATGGCCTTGACGAGGCCCTCGTGATCGGCGAAGTCGACGTAGGCGAACCCCTTGCGCTTGTCGATCTCCACAAAGGTGATTGTGCCGAACGTCTCGAGCGTCTGCTTGAGCAGGGCCTCGGTGACGCCCTGGGAGGCGTTTGCGTGCTTGATAAAGGCACGCGTGGTGTTGGCGCTCACGGCGGGTGCCTTCTTCTGCGCCTGGGAGGGCTTCGACTTGGGGGCAGGCTGTGCCTGCTTGGCGGGAGGGGTGGGTTGTGTCTTGGGGGCCGGTTCGGGAGCTGTCTGAGGAGCGGGCGGTTCAGGCTCTGGTTTCTTCTTCAGAATGATGGGGGTCTTTGTAATGGTTGGGGCCGTAGAGGTCTCCGTTGCGGTAGTTTCCGTCCCCTTCCCCTTTTCTGCACTCTTGCCACCACGGCTCCTGCGCCCCGATTTGCCTTGCTTTGTAGACTGTGCTGTACTTTCGACTGAAGGGGCTGGAGAGGAGGAGCGGTTCGCGGGGGCGGCCGACGACGCAGCTGCTGTCGAAGCACCCTTTGCGCCGGCACTCTCTGTCGATCCAGCTTCAGCTTTTGCTGCGTCCTGGCGCGCTCGCCTATGGGCGCTTCCAGGACTCAGGCCAAGATCACGCTGTAGGATGCGGGCGGCAGCAGCGATTCCAGCACGTCGGCTTTTGGGGGTGTCGGCGGATGCGGCAGCGGTGATGTGACTGGCGGCCGTCTTCGCGGCCTCAGCAGCTTGTTCCGTCGCAGCCTTCTTGGTGAGAATCTTGACAGTCTCCTTGGGTGCCTTTTCCTTTTCCTTGTCATCCTTTCCACCCTTGCCCTTCTTTTTGGACGACTCGTCGTCCTTGGAACCTCCTTTGCTCTTGCTAGAATTCGATTCCTTGTCCTTCTTAGAGTTCTTGCCCGAGGACGAATCCTTAGCCTTAGAAGCCTTCTTCTCTTTAAGGTACTCAATCAGAGGTGTGGTGGTGACTTTGATGTCCGCCTTCTCCCCCTCGTCGGCGTCGTCGACTTCCACACCCTCATTGGCCAGCCCAGTGTTGGCGAGGTTCTCGAGAAAAGCCATAAATTGAGGGTCTTGGTCAATGGTCCCCTGGCGGGCATCTGTCCGCCGCTTGTTGCTTGGGATCTTCTTATAAATAGCAAACTCAACCGTAGGCGGCGCAATCAGCGCCGGGCTGGTAAAGGTGCCCTTGGCATCTTCCCAAGTTGATGACTGGACCACCTCGCTCAGGCTCATGATATCATCTTTTCTCTTCAGATGAACATATGCACGGCTTGGGCGAGAGGGTTTTGAAGGGCTTTGATAATGAGGTTAGCAAGAATTAACAACTCTGGTAGAGAACACAAGGATGACACACTCTTTGGATACCTTGCCCGGGGCGTACGAGAGCCAGTCCACTTTCCCCTTGTTGAGTTCCCAGTCAGGGCCGAGGATAGTGACAAACTCATCCTGGGTCATGGCAGGTGGGAGCCGACGGATGACGAGCTTCTCGCCCTCATTCTGTGCCTTTGGCTTCGATGGTTTTGGGGCCTCACTCTGAGTGTCAGCCAACTGTCATACAAAGAGAAATAGCCGATGCGCTCTACCTTTGTAGTTTCAGCAGAATTTTCCTGAGAGCTCCTGGCTCTCCCAGATCTACTGCCAGCATTCTCATTGCCTCTTCCCTGAGATGTGTCAGTTTGCGCAAATCCTCCCTGCCGTTAGGGCTCAAATGCAACCTATCTAACCTTGGGATTATCATGAGATGACCGTGAGCCGTTGGCATTACCCCGGCGAGATATCACCTGGGGGGTGGACTGAGCAGCCATCTCAGTTGGCTCGATACTGGGCGAGGCGCGCCGAAGGGGTGTTGCTTTGCAAGGCTAGAATGAGCCCGCGAGTGCCCTCAAAGCTCCACTGGTGAATCTGGCGACAGTGAGCGAATGCGACGGCTGCTTAGGTAAGTTATCAACCATGCGCTTGAGCGGCCACTCGCGAGTCTCAGGCACGGAGATGTGGCTCACAGTGTGAAGTGTATGTCCACTTATTTAGCGGGAAGTCGTCACGTGATGGGCCAAGGACCAGGGACGTGATGGTAATGAAATGCAAGGGTTGAAGCATTCGAGGGAGAATCTTATAATGAGGCAAGTAATATTCAAGGTCAGAATTTTGCGGTTTCAACAGTCGTTTGATCCCTGTCATCCTCACGGCGAATATTCCAGCCAGTTGCGCTTACAATCAGCTTCTGAAGCCTGGGTGGGGCTCAGCAGCCAGAGGGGACCACTTCAGCACCCGTTTCAGGCGCTCTAGCGCAATGACGGCCCAAGAATTGATTCGAGCGTCCAGATCCCCGCCAGCCCCAAAGACAAGTCAGATAACCACACTCTGAGACCCCCCAACCGCATCTACACTCCCTCCGTTTTCATATTTCTCCTTGGAGCGAGGTATGCCGTAATATGGCTACCAGCGTGCCTCGACCGGGCCCGGCCAACCTCGGGCCCAATTCAGGCCTCGATGAGTGGCTTGAGGAGGCCAAGCAGTGCCATTACCTGCCGGAGCGTGTGATGAAAGAGCTATGCGAGAAGGTCAAAGAGATCCTCATGGAAGGTAGGAGCCATCTCATCTTGCTCCTTGAGATGAACCCCCGGCCCTCTGACATGGAATAGAGTCGAACATCCAGCCTGTTTGTACCCCCGTCACCGTCTGTGGTGACATCCATGGCCAATTCTACGATCTGCTCGAGCTCTTCCGCGTCGCGGGCGGCATGCCTGGCGAGACCAACCTCCACGCTCCCAAGACCGCCACAACCGTCATATCGCCCGAAGATATCGAGCCCCCAACCGAGATCACGAACCCAAAGCTCCGGAAGAAGCTGCGATCCTCCGAGGGGCCCAGCGGCGGTGAAGCGGATGAGGGGGACGCCGAGCCAGAGGCCAGCACGGGTGCTGACGCTGCCGCCGATCGTCCGGTGTCTGCAGACTCCGGTGTCGCGGTGCCTACGTCTCAAAGCGCGGAGACTAGATTCATCTTCCTCGGGGATTTCGTTGACAGAGGATATTTCAGCTTGGAGACGTTCACACTTCTCATGTGCCTAAAAGCAAAGTATGAATTTCTCACGGGAGCGGCACTTTCTGCCCTTAGAAGCTAAACATTCTGACTGATAAATCTAGATACCCCGATCGGATTGTGCTGGTACGAGGGAACCACGAGTCTCGTCAGATCACCCAGGTGTACGGATTCTACGAGGAATGCCAGCAAAAGTACGGCAACGCATCAGTCTGGAAGGCCTGCTGCCACGTGTTTGACTTTCTGGTCTTGGCAGCCATCGTGGATGGGGAGGTTTTATGTGTTCACGGTGGCCTGAGCCCCGAGATCAGGACGATTGATCAGATTCGTGTCGTAGCAAGAGCGCAAGAGATTCCTCATGAGGGTGCATTCTGTGATCTTGTTTGGTCGGATCCTGACGAGGTCGAAACCTGGGCCATCAGTCCCCGCGGCGCTGGCTGGCTGTTTGGCGACAAGGTTGCCAACGAGTTTAACCATGTCAACGGTCTGAAGCTCATTGCCCGTGCCCACCAGCTTGTAAACGAAGGGTACAAGGTGAGCAGCAATTACCCCCTACGATTTGTCATTATGTTGTGGACAACACTTTCTAACTGCGAAACAGTATCACTTCCCAGAGAGCTCTGTTGTTACAGTGTGGTCAGCGCCAAACTACTGCTACCGCTGCGGCAACGTCGCTTCCATCATGTCGGTGGACAAGGATTTGACCCCAAGGTTCAGCATCTTTTCTGCAGTGCCAGATGACCAGAGACACCTTCCGGCCAACAGAAGGGGTCCTAGCGACTATTTCCTCTGATTCTGCATGTGGGCTTGGTATTGGGAATGTTATTTTGCATGTAGATTACTAACTAGTTTAGGGTCAAGATACCCATGATGTCTAAAGACGAGAGTGTCGGTTCGGGATGGGTTGTTTGGGTAATGCATCGCATATGGTTAATGACGGGATCGGCCGTGTCAATGTACTGGAGCTCCACGAAGAGGGTAGATCTAGACTTGAGAGTGACGAAGCATTGAAGTACATGAAGTTTGCTCTATATTGTTGTCTTACGAACTGATTCCACGTGCGTTTTGGTCGTATTTCCCCGTTCTACCTCCATAGGTACATTGATTAAACCAGACCCCGCGGTCTCCACACAAGTCGCATAGTTTCAATTGAGGGGCGCATTCACATCCAAGTGGCTTGCCAGACATGCACAAGAAATCTTAATTTGAACGTGATCATCGCATTGAGAGAGAAAACCCCCGATTTGAAATATCTACGACTTACCCACGTATACCAAGTACATGGCAATCGGGCTACATAAATCTGGCCCCTTGATAATTCTCGACCAATTAGCGGCTAGAGAAACACACTTTTCATCAAGAAACAGAATTCTTAAAGGTTAGTCTGTATCCTACAGACGCCCATTCTCAGATACCTATAGGATTCTGGTCTTTCCCGACAGATCCCCTTCTAAGAATGGGTAAACAACGCCAACAAAACCCCATCCTCTCTGCTCTCTCCCAATGGCTCGAAGGCCTAGACTCAGATACCCCGGGAGCCGAGACGGACGACGGATGGAAGCAGGAGATCATCGACAAGACCCCCAAACGCTTCACCGTCTACGAGCCCATGGCTCTCCTGCCAGCCGGGAGCTTCACCCACCCCTCGTGGAAAGCCCTGCTGGCACGCGTGGGCGAGACTACCGCCGCCCAACTGTGGGCACTGATCCTACGCGAACTGTCCAAGAAGTCAGGACCGGAGCTGACTCACCTCGCGGTGACCGAGGGGATCCCGCTGCTCAAGGAGGGCGACGAGCAGGGCGAGGAGAACGTGCTGCGGAGTCCCAGCGGGCTGCGGATGCTGCACGGAGACTTTGGGCCCTCCGCGACACTCGGCCCTGATAATCCAGCTGAGGGGGACTTTGAACGGGCGCTGTGGGTGTCGACCAAGCAGAATGGGATCTATCAGACGTGGGCGCCGCGGTGGACCATGTTCAGCCGGGGGAACGTCAAGGAGAAGGCTAGGCTGCTGGAGTTCAAATTACCCCCCGCTGGTCAGGCTGAGGTACAAGCATCCGGGGGGCATGACGTATGGGCAGTTGATCTATACGGTGGCATCGGGTACTTTGTGTTCTCGTACGCATCGCTGGGCATGCGAGTACTCTGCTGGGAGATCAACCCTTGGAGCGTGGAGGGCTTACGACGAGGCGCACTGGCGAACCGCTGGACGGTCAGGGTTATACAGGGCGTTGAGCTGGAATTGCCAGCAGAAGATCTGATCCGGGGCGGCGAGCAGATAGTGGTCTTCCTGGAAGACAACCAAAAGGCTCTGGGGCGGATACGCAGCCTCCATGCTTCCGGGAGCTCGGGGGAGATCAGGCACGTCAACTGTGGGTTCCTACCTACCAGCGAAGCAACTTGGAAGCCAGCCTGGGACATGACGGGCCAGAGCTCAGAGACATGGTTTCACTTTCACGAGAACGTCGGAGTTGATGACATCAAGGACAGGCAGAGCTCGATCGAGGGCCTCTGCAAATCATGGGCAGCCAGCGAAGGATCCGTTCGGAGCGTAGATGCAGACCACGTTGAGCTGGTCAAGACGTTTGCCCCGGGGGTTTGGCACTGTGTATTTGACGTCCATGTTACAAGGTCTAGTAGTTGTACAACTTGATCGTATTATAAAACAAAAAAAAGAAAAAGCCCCCCCTCCCCTCCTTTTCCATAGAAGAGGCTAACCGCTAGATGAGAAAAGCAGGAACACTGGCCAGTGTCCCCATCACCGTTGCCGCAGGAATTTAGAGGGGATGTTCGACTCGACGATAGATTGTTTGTCCAGAGCCTCGAGCCTCCTCTGCTCATCCTCAATCTCGTCGTGCTTCTTGAAGTGCTCGATGTCCTCGGGATGCGTGAGGTCCTCCATCTTCGTATCCTCATTATGGTACTTCTCCCAGTGATGGATCTCATACTCGTACTCATCGTCGCCATGGTGCCCGGGCCCCGTGCCCATGTCAGGCAGCGTCTTGCCGCTCTTGGTGTATGCGAGCCACTCCGCCAGAGTGACCTGGCCGTCGCCGTCGGTGTCAATGGGACGCACGACGTCATCCAGGATCTGCTTGCGGCGCTCGACAGACACGTGCTTGTTGGAGTCGTCCATCAGGCCGTACGTGCGCAGGATCTCGTCGCCCTGCCACCGCCCGTCACTGTTGTAGTCGTGGAGAGAGAAGAATGCGCTGTCGTCCCAGCCAGCCATGTGATGCTCCTCCGCCATGTGTTTGGTGATCCAATTGGCGTTTTCGGGGACCTTGGGCACGGGGTTTCGTGTGCCGTCGCCATGAGCAACGGCGAGGCCTATCAAGGCAGTGCTGATCAGAGCTTGGCTGCGCATAATGGCGGTGTCTAGAGGCTGCGGGAGCACTAACGAGAAGATGCAACAAGGAGGAAACAAGACTTTCTTGAGTATGTAGTGTTATGCCTCTCCGTAGATTTTGGCGATAGAAGAAGAGAGGCCAAATATGGGGTAGCTTAGCTTGCGCTCGATGGAACGCTGATAACGTCAGGGGGCTCAACGGCCAACGGGGTGGACTCTAGATCTGCAGGTGCATCACTACCGGGCCCACCTACCGCTATAGCAGCTAAAGTATCTCCTCTCCCAATTACGGTGAAGTGTACATGGACGTAGCTCCCTGGCTTATCTGCCGAGGCTTATCAGCAATAATTCACCGGCGCGTCTCCCAAGCTCTGAACGTGTTTTCCGAGAAGCTATCATCACCACCCAATACATGTACAGCAATTGGCACACCCAGCATGAGTCGACAAATCGAGCAGGCCCTTTTCTCTTTAATGCCCACCTACGGGTCGGATCTCCCCCCGCCTCTAGTAGAACTCGCCGAGTCCCTAGTCTCGCAATCACGATTCAAAGCCAGCACGCTCAAGGCAGAGGAGGAAGTAGGCAGGTTATATGCCTGCGCGAACCTCGCCTGCAACAGGCTCAAGGTCACTCTCGATCTCCCGCCCATCCAGGCCCGGCCCCCGATCCCGCCCCGGATCTACAACCGTCTCTACACCCACCTCGACAACATCATCCCAGCCCCTTCGTCAACACCTCGACGTGGGAGACCGGCGCGAGCCACCAGCTCCAAGGGTGCTGCTGATCTAGCTTCCGAGACCAGACCGATCCCCTCCCGAGCGACCCCCACGAAGGAGCAGAGCCTTGCCAAGTTCCGCACTCCCACTAAGGGCGGTGCCGGCACACCATCCAAGTCTACGGGGGCGGCCAACTCCCTCGCCGGTGGTGCCTTGCCAGTGTGGGTAAAGCCAGTCATCAAATTCATATGCTCGGAGACGGGGCAGCTGGCCATTGCGCCCACCATAGTGGCCGCGATGGACACCATAATCGCTCCGGGTGGCAGGCGGACGAGGGACGAGTGGGTCAACCAGAACATTGCACCAATCCTCAGTGCTATTTATTTCTACGTCACCATCAAATTGGTAGCCCTGTCTACCGGTCAGCCGATGACCAAGGAGCCATTCTCGGCTCAGCGGAGAGAGATTCTCAAATTGTTGGGTCGGGCCCGTGAGGAGACCACGGTCAATGCTCCCAGCGGCCAAGATCCATGGACTGAGTGGGAGGAGACCAAACCGAGAGAGTTCAACTCGGCCGTCAATCAGATGGAGGAACAAGGCTGGTTAGATAGTGACTGGTTCAAGGGCCTTGATGAGCTTGTCGGGGCCAAGAGATGGGACGTAGTCACCGCGCCCGCTGAGGACGAGGACGACATGGCCAAGCCAATACAGATCCGGCGGGCGGATACCATGTTCCAGGAGAAGTACGACTACCTCAGCGAGGAGAGGAAGGCGGACTACAATGTTTGGCGGCACAAGATGTTACAGAGGATCATCGACAACAGGACGAATAGCGGAGCCATGGAGATTGATACCCAATGAGAACGTCTTGTCGAAATACAATAATATATTTAGCCGCTGGCCCTCACATGCGCTCATCATGCAAGCTTGCCCAGCACGTACGGGTGGCCCGCACTCAAGCCCCCGTCTATAGCCCATGCCTGCCCGTTCACATAGCTGCTCTCGTCGCTTCCAAGGAACAGGGCCACGCGCGCAATCTCATCGGCGTGTGCCCCCCTCCCCAGCGGGTTCAGCTGCCCGATTTTCTTGGTGGTTCCTCGAGCACGGGCTGCCTCGTACGTAGGGGCCGTCATACCTGTCTCGGTCAAGCCAGGGCAGATTGCGTTCATACGAACACCAGTGCCTGCGAGTTGGTAGGATATGGACTGGGCCAGAGATATGACGGCAGCCTTGGAGGCCGAGTAAGGAGTTGGTCCGGCATTGGACCGAAGCCCGGCGACAGAGGCCGTACCAATAATCGATCCTCCCGACTGGGGCTTCTCTGACGACGTCTTCCGCATGGCGGGAGCCGCATACTTGGCCGCTAGGAAGACGCTAGTTTATTTCTCTCGGGTCAGTTGTCTCAGTTCACTCAAAACATGCAGCCGCATAGGTGTGGTGTGGCGCTCATGGCCAAGACGTGCCACTTACCTCAGAGTGTTGGTTTTCAGCACGGACATGAACTCGTCCTCGGAAATTCGGTCAAAGATGATAGGCTTTCCAACAACGCCGGCGTTAGCAAAGAACACGTCAAGGCGGCCATAGCGGTCAATGGCGTCATCTACGACAGCCTTGACCTCAGCCTCTTTGGCGGCATCGAATTGCCGTGTATGGATCTCAACCGCCGGGAAGAGGGTGTTCAGTTCACGCTTGTGGGCTTCTAGATAATTGTCCTGAAAGTCACAGATGTAGATGGCGCGAGCACCACTTTCAGCATACTGGTGGGCCGTGGCACGGCCAATACCAAGCAGCGAGTTGGCGCCTGTTGTATATTCCCATGTCTATCAGCGCTTTGACTCAAACTAGCTCGTGGCTATCCAAGGACAGCTTTGCGACGGGGCGTTTATTACCTGTAATAATGACGACTTTCCCCCGAACACGCGGCGAACTGGACCCAGGAGACGCCTTATGTACAGGAGGCAACCCGGTCTCGGAGGCTGAAGAGGATGTGTCCAATTGTTGGCCAATGGCCTGGACTCGCTCCTTTGCCTTGTGCGACGCCATCAGAATAATCGTATTCGTCTAATTGGGAAACGGTGAGAGGATGAGGAACTTCTTCTTCTTAAGCAGCCAAGAGTAGCATTGAGAAATACAATCAAGGATGGTGGTAGTTGAATTTCCCAGCACAATGGTGAATCCAGGGGAGCAAGTCCAAGGTCTGGGGAAATCATGTGGAGAAGTTAAATAACAAAGAGGAGCCGAGGTTCCGTCAAGATTATCCCGGCATGATACTACGGATAGCGTTCGAGTTAGTACATAACTAGCAGGTAGTAGCATCCTGGAATGCCCATAATAGGTTGTGGGGAAAACACGCGAACGAGCTAATTGCTGCTATAATCAACTCCAAGTATTAAATACTGTTAGTCCAGCTATCGGACAGCACTCCGGTAGGTCTGTTATTCCAGAAGCTGTCTTTTGGACCTTCCTGTGGGCGGTCAGCAATGGCCTGCATAATGGGGAATACTTACTGCAGGCCTCAGTCCACTTCTTCCGCTCCAAATATAGTTCTGCTCGTACCCGACAATCATGGCTGGGGCTTCCAAACAACGCGCATCAGGCATCATGTGGGCGAGCCTCAGTCTCGAGACTCGAATGATTCCCACGTGGTCAGATAGAGTTCGGGCATATCCATCCAAATATTGAAGGCTATGCGCCCATGTCAACGCTCTCTACGAGTCCATGCAACATTGACAAAACCAACCAGCCACTCAGAGAGAGCGCTTGCCGCCCTGGTACATGCAGGTGGGTGGTGAAACCAAACCTTATGGGGCGTACAGGATATGGGCCGAGTGTTTCCCTAGAGCCCCAAACCATGGAATCATTCCAAGAGCTGCCGATGGGTCCGGGGACTCATCTCTCCCGTTGATGGCAATTTTCCCGATGCCAGCTGGGTGTCCAAGTTATGTTGACCCCGTTGGGACGTCTCAGACGAAATGCAACTCGTGGCAGAGGAGCACACAGGCAGTACGAGATCGTCAGGCTCTGGCCGGATATTGTAAGTCACTGGGGTTGCGCAAGGCCTCGTGAAAAGTCCAGCCTACTTTCGTCATTTTCAGCTCCCGTGGTGTCCAGGATGAATTCCCCATGCGACGCCATGCAGGTTCGCGCAACCATCCATTGGCTGGCGGGTTCTATTTGGCTGTTTTATTGCTTCTTTCTCCTCCCATTTTCTGCCACCAAGCATAAGCGGAAACAACAGACTCTTCCTATTCGTAGGAAGCTATACGATGGTATGTATAGCATGGTCCGGGGCTATTGGCCTTAGGAGCATCGGAAACGGGGGGATAAGACGTCAAACGTTGGATGTTGTATAAAGGACGGAGTAATAAAGCGCAGCTTCCCCAAAGCTATCCAATCACTTCCTCGCCCGGGCCTCCTAATCAAGATACCCGGTGGAGGAAGCAGGGTCGAATCTTCTTGGCGAATGCAGCATTGCACAACATCTTTGAACCACCAATAACATGGCTTGCGAGATCGTTGGCATATTCTGCTTAAATTTGTTTGTTGAGCTTTTGCCTGCGGTGCAACACCAGACATCATAGTCCAACCTGAGCCCACTCTCTGCTTTCCTTTTCCATTCAAATACGAATGTGCCTCACCTGAAAGAACATGCTCAGTCGGTCCAATCGGGCACTCGAACCAGTCTTGATTCTTTTCTTCGAACCAACTTTAGTCCGTCTGCTATGAGACAATGATGTCTAGAGAATAGGCCCGGTGGCGTCTGGGACGCAACTAAGTCAGTCGGGTCGAACAAACCAAGGCTCGCTGGGATGAGAAGACCAATCCTGGAGAAACCAAATAAACAAGTCTTTCTCGATCTTCATATGCCTCCTTTGGCCATGATACGATATGCAGCCTTGCGGGTATTGTGTGCATCGTATGTCGATGAATGCATCCCTGCGTGGCCGAGTGCGTGCAGGCTTCACCTTGATGTATACGGTCTGCAGGTCCTTCTATCGCCGACCAGGGCACAAGCATGGCCTCGTCGGTACGTTGGCAGAAATGGTCCGGGTATGCTTTTTGCGGTGTCCAGGTGTCTCGATAGAATGCGAAGGGTAGCTGATTTGTCTGTGATCGGCTGAGGAGGGGGGCTGCAGAAGCTGTGTAACCCGCCGCCCCTACCCACCCTACCCTCAGCACGCCGTATTCACGATGGCCACGCACTCGCATCATGACAGATCTGCGGTGTATTGCTGTATGCTGTGCATTGCAGGTGGCTGGCGGTCCAGCTAGCCAGGTGCATATGTGCTGCAGACACGGGCATATGTCCCCCATCTGTCTTGCAGCTGGGCATGCGGCCGCCAGCTGCAGACGACTGCAGACGACTGCCACCGACTGTTCGCAACGCAATACGACCGAGTGCACTTCCAAGTCTGTAGACAACCTTGGCTCGTAGATGGTGTCGTGGTAAAGTTCTGCCCATCCTTTCCCAGTCCCGCTCCCTCCCTCTTTCGTTCCTTCCTTCTTCCCTCCGTCCAACTCGCCGATACCGCCTGCCCACCACCTTTTCGAGGTACTTTGCTCTCCCACAGCAGTACATCGATCATCTGGTAGCTTCGGTACATTTGCCCCATCTGATAGGTACCTGACCGTCTGCCTGAGCCTTTCTACCATCTCCGCCTCGACAACATCCAACCCTCCTTCTGCATCTTCATGCTCTCACCCATACTCGTTCTCCGGTTTCTCGCTCATTTCGTTCGTTACTTCTATCCGCCCATCTATTTATGCCTCTGCAGATCTCAACCTTATTTCTTCTCTCTTCCTCTTGCTATCGACGACCCGCTCATGGCCCTTCCGCTCGCTACACCAACGCTGGCTACCTAATTTCTACAGGCGCCCTACCTCTCTTTTCCACTCTTCTTCTCGCGTCAGCCACGCGACTTTGTTCGGGGTCTACCGGGTCTACAACAAACTAACCATTCTCATCACAAGTCTTCTACCAACAGCTCATCACCCTCACACCTACGCTCGCTCTCGTGGCCATCCTTGCCATAGCCTCACTCATGGCTGAGAACTCATGTAGCGGGATGCCCTGGGGCTTCCTCGCTACCGACGTGCCGAACGCTCCCAAGTGCATTACCTCCTGCAGAGCAAAGTTCATCGACGGATTGTTACTCGAGAACAAGACACTCGAAAGTGTGTGTGAGCATCTCTCAGACAATGGCAACACAACAACCGAGAAATTGCCTCCTTTCTGGGATCTCTATTGCTGTGATTCTCAGCTGTGCGGCGTGGACAACCTCAAGAGCCACAACCTTGATCGTACGGTTAACCCTTTCCTTCTGCTCTCCCGACTCTCGTCGTTCTTGTGCCATCTTGGTGCAGCGTACAGGGCAGTACCGTTGGCTGATAATATTATTTAGCCAACATCAATTGGTTCATTAGTTCTTGTCAAAAGTACGTTTCGCCTGGATATCTGATGTTGTGCCATCACATGCTAACGTTTGTTTAGCATTGGGTATCCTTCGCTCACCGACCCGGGACCCCCAGAACCAACCCGTTACATCTGCAATCGTATTTCTGACTATGGCGGCAATCCTCTGTGTCAAAAAGAAAAGCCAGACACAAATGTCGCAACATCTACCAGCGTCCAACATTCTTCTGTCTTGGCCTCGCCCGTAACACACACCCTAATGGCAACTTCAACATCCGAGTCCAAGTCCATCCTAGACCCATCCCTCGAGGCCAGTCTAGATCCGTCCAACTCAGATGATAGGGGGGCACAAGGAGGAACTCACATCTCCAAAGAGATCAAGGTGACCATTGGCTTATCCGTTGTTGCAGGGGCTATTGTGATTGGACTCATTATTTTCTGTCTGTTGCGCCTCAAATCACGGCCTCCTCATCGACGAGGAATTCGCAAGTATTTTAAGCGCAAAGACGACGACTCCTCTTTCAAGGGCCTTACTGAATCCCCGACGCCTTTGATTTCTCCAACTTCCCTTGTTAGCCCTCATTGGAAACCACTTACACCGCCACCGCCTCTCAAGGAGAGAAAGATGCTCAACGTGCCACCAGCGAGCAGTCGGCCATCTTCAGTCAATCGAGAGCAGCGACAGGCCGAATTCCCTGCATCGCCAGTAGTCGCTCTAACAAGAGATAGTCTGGTGCCCAGAACTGAGAGAAGACCAACCTTCAATGGGGTTAACGTCTCTCCCCCGAATTCCCCTACCGAAAATGCCGGAGTTGCTCGCGGCAATCCAGGAGATGCCCGCTCCCCAGCATCCAATACTACGATCAAGGCTACTCAGAAGCGGTCAAAAATTCAGACAAAGGGCTGCGAGGTGCCCCCGTTGAAAGTCGCCGGCCTTTCAAACCCAGGGCCACCACCTTGTCGGGCACTTCCTTCAACACCAGTGTCTGGTCAATACCCCCAGAGTCCGTTGCGAGACTCATCACTCTCTTCCCAACCTGGTAATTTTGGCGTCGCATTAGGACTGGTCTCACATAACCCAGCCAAGGGAGTTGTTCTGGATCCAGAAGCTCGCAGTCTACGCGAGCTAACGGAAGAGTGTGAGCGCGAGTCGCGCAACAATAGTTGGGGAAGCTGGCGTGGAAGTGTTGGAGGTTACAGCCCAACGCTTTCTCCTCCGGATAAATCAAAGAAAAGAGAGTTCAAGAATCAAATTCTTCAAGAAGGCGACCTTGAGCGATTGGGGGGCAAGTACTAACAAATCATGCGTCATCTTCCCTCTATCCAGCTATACAGCTTGCCTACGAACGGCTACTTTAGCATGGCTTTTCTTCTCTCTTCTCTTCACTTTTCTTAAACTTTGTAAATAGACACTGCATTATCCAGGCTGGTTGGTGCTTGGAGATCAAGGAAAGGCGCATGATGTGCGTCATGACATGAAGGAGACAAGGGCTCATCCCGGTGTATGGCTGATGCGGAAAACGAAATAGAGACGACCCAAACGGAATCATATCGACTCGACTTTGGCTGACAGGGCGTACAGAGGAACAAAAACATTCTAGGCGCAAGAATTTTGCGGCGAATTAAGGTCTTCATTTGGAAATAATTTCTTAATTTTCTGTTTCATATTGACGAGACACTTTTGTAATGGAGGATCTTGATGCTTACTCATTCCGCGACTTCAATTTCCATCCGAATGGAATAAGTTGCCTCTAGATACCATGCTTCTTTAATGACGAGACCAAATCTACGACGCTCTTCTCAAAGCTGATCCATTCAATTCCTAGTAGTTTGTCTGTCTTCTCCACGTTCCACTTGAAGGTCTGCTCAGGCAGAGGTCTCTCACCACCCTTGACCTCGGGGCCAGGCAGTCTGTCAGCATACTCGGGGAACTTTGCCCTCACGATATCAACATAGTCGTGATTGCCAAAGAGACCGGCGGTGGTGAACAGGCGGTGGCCCCCGACCTCGGGCTTCTCGAGGCCAGCGACCACGTGCGCGCGGGCGACGTCGCGGACGTCGATCCAGAGCGCCACGGGGCCCTGCGGCGGGATGGACTCCCGCCACTTACCCTGGAGCAGGTTGACGGCTCGCTCGTTGGACGTGTTGATGCTATCCAGGCTGGCGAGGTGGTTGATGACGGGTCCCACGACGAGGGGCGGGTTGATGGTGACGAGGTCGAATCCCGGCTTCTCCTTCTCGACAAAGTCCCAGGCGGCCTTCTCGGCGAGCTTCTTGGAGACGCGGTAGGCGGTGGCCGGGGAGCGGTGGATGTCGGCGGCGGTGTCCGGGTTCCAGCTCTCCTCGGAGAAGGTGTGGGAGGGGTCGGAGAGGTGGGCCTCGTCGATGATGGCGGCGAAGGAGGAGGTGACGACGACGCGGCGGACCTGGGGCGCGGATTTCTTGAGGGCCTTGAGGATGCCGGTTGTGCCGTTGACGGCGGGGTCGAGGAGTTCCTTCTGGGGGTCACCTATCCCACATATTAGTTGGGGATTATCAAATCTATGAGCCGTGGGATGGGGGCGCCTGGTCTGGGAGTGAGAGAGGAGGGAGGGGGTTTGAAACCGTACTCCATTTGAAGTGGAAGGGGCTGGCCGTGTGGAGGACGACCTCGATGCCGGGCGTCTTGACCACCTCGTCGAAGGCGTCCAGCTTGGCAATGTCGGGCACGATGAGGACCTCGAGGCGGTCGGACTGCGCCTTGTAGGCGTCGCGGATGGCCTGGGCCTTCTCCTCTGAGCGGACGGTGGTCACGACCGAGTGGCCCTTTTCCAGGAGCTGCTCCAAGATGTGAGCTGAAAGGGACGAAATCGTTCCAGTTAGCTAGTGTAGCTGATTACACGGATTTTGAGAATCGGGGCATTACACACCGGCGATGAAGCCCGAACCACCTGTGAGTGAGTTAGTATTGGTTTCACTCTCTACTCGCCAATTGAAGGCGGGGGGTGAAGACTTACCAGTAAGAAGAACTTTAGTCATTGTTGCAGGGTGTCAAGATCAATTGGCGTCAAGAGGAGTTTACAATGGCAGCAGGTTAAAGGAGAAAAATAAAGGGGGTTTGTTTGCTTAATATACCCTCACTCACTCACTCAGTGAGTTTGGTCAATCAATCACCCGATAGGCGACTTCCATTGCGTCAACAGAGTCCGGCCGCTCTCACCCCACTCATGTCCCCTCTGACCCCGCACTTGTTAATCGCGTGCAATGATGCTTCTTCTCCGGTGTTATCTGCCAATGACCGGTTAAGTCCATAACCGGGATGCCAGCTCATCGCCAGCTCATTGTAGACGAGTAAGAGTTCACTTGTAGAATGGGACACAGAAGCTGATAACTCATGACTATTCAATACAAGATACCTAAGAAAATGCCGGCTCCCAGAAATTTGGGCTCGTTCGTATGATATATATGTACACACACTGGCCTCGCACGCCGTCAATGTCCTTTTTTTATACCTTGATACTAATACAAGGCTCAACAGTAAGATGAAAGGAAAGGGGTGGTTCTTCCCTCCACCACACAAGCCAGAACACACAAATTTTGATATTTGCCGTATACCCAGTTGATGTGAATGGTTGTAGAAGTGTCACACGCCTTAAAATGATTTGCTTCGGCTGAAGAAAGCATGGCAAAGTCTTAATAACTGCCAGCTATGCTACCACCCTCGTAAAGCCGTTTAGTAGTAGAGCTTTACAGCCGGAGTCGATTAGTCTTCGGTTCAATGAATCGCGTGGGTTTAATTGGGTAATAAGTGATCTCTCACTCTGCATGTCGCTCAGTTGCTTCCCAACCTGCCGGTAGCGACTGGAGGTGGTGCCGGAGCCTGGGGAGGGTGCGGCTGGCCGACTCCGCCAAAAGGCGGCTCTGGGGCATCGACAGGGATGGGAACCACGATAGGCCCTTTAGGTACCACGGCGCGATGAGGTAGTTGCTCGCCCCGGATGACCTTCTCTACCTCTGCCTTATCAAGTGTTTCGTACTTGACGAGTGCTTGGGCCAGCAAATCAAGCTCCTTCCGTTTCTCAGTCAGAAGCTTCTTGACGTCCTCGTATGACTTCTTCAATGTCGTTTGGACCTCCATCTCGATCTTGGATCGTGTGTCAGAGCTGAGATACTCATACCGTTTGCCGTACTCAACAGGGCCCAAGGCTGCAGACATGCCGAATTTGGCAACCATGGCAAAGCTCAAATCCGTCGCGCTTTCAAGATCCTACGAATAGACTGCGTTAGTGGATGATTGGAGAATGTCTCAGGGGCGCTTTGCGGAAACAATTAGTAATAAGGCAAGGGGGAAACTCACAGCCGAGACACCAGTGGTAACCTTGTCGTCTCCAAAGATCAGCTCCTCGGCCATCTTGCCTCCCAAAGCGACGCGAATGTTTGACATGTATTCAGCTGCCGTGTGCGAGTACTTATCCATCTGTGGAACGAACGCGGTGTGACCGAGAGTAGGACCCTTGGGCAGAATAGTAACCTTGTAGAGTCTGGTTGAGCTTTCCTTGTCGAAGAGCTGAACCAGGGCGTGTCCTGCTTCGTGGTAGGCAGTCATCTCCTTTTCCTTCTCATTGATCACCATAGACCTCTTCTCGGAACCCATTGTAACCCTGTCAAAGGCCCACTCCAGATCCTGTTTCGAGACAACAGAAGCTCTAGCCCTGCTAGCCTTCAATGCGGCAACGTTGAGCATATTTTCGAGCTCTGCGCCAGAGCGACCGGGTGAGCGAGCGGCAATAGCTTCCAAGTCCACATCAGGTCCAAGCTTGATCTTCTTGGCATGGTGTTTAAGGATATCCAGACGTCCGCGCACATCGGGCAGATCCACGTTCACGTGTCTGTCGAATCGTCCGGGACGAGTCAAAGCTTTATCGAGCATCTTGGGCGTGTTGGTAGCAGCAATAACAATAATCCTGGCCTCTTGGTCAAAGCCATCCAGTTCCGTGAGCAGCTGGTTCAGCGTCTGCTTGGCATGCGCCTGGTCACGAGGGTTCCTCTTGCCACCTATCGCATCAAGTTCATCGATGAAGATAATTGCAGGCGACTTAGACTTGGCGTTCGAGAAGAGGTCGCGCACGCGCTTGGCGCCCACACCAACGAAAATCTCGTCGAACTCACTGCCGGACATGTAAAAGAATGGAACTCCAGCCTCGCCAGCTACAGCCCGAGCCAGGAGAGTTTTACCAGTACCAGGAGGTCCAACCAAAAGAACACCCTTAGGAAGCTTAGCTCCAAGGTCAGAGAACTTGTCAGGGTGGCGCAAGAATTCGACAACCTCCTCGAGTTCTTCCTTGGCCTCCTTGCATCCGTGAACGTCGCTGAACCGAGCAGTCTGCTTTTCCGATGTGACTTCGGAGTCCGTCTTGGCAGTTTGTGGGCGGCGGAATGAAGTCAAGACCTCGATCAGGATAGTGACAGCGGAGAAACATAGCCATGTGAAGACAACGAAGGTGGCAAGAAATTTAACCCAGCGAAAGATCATGGATGCAGTGGATTCCTCGAGGACAACGTAAACAGGGCGGCCTTTAACACCTCGTCCCTCTCCAGAAGCGAGGCTTGACGTGATCGCACTACCAATTGCATGATCGAGACCCGGTTGTCCACCCGTAGCTGCGAACGAACCAGTAGCTGTACTAGCACCTGAGTTCACAGCAGCCAAGGCCCTGTGGTAGATCTCTTCGGTAGCGGCATTGGCTCCATAACGACCAGAGTGATAGCGAGAAACGACAATACCAGGCATGTTTGCGCGGAGAAGAACATTGTAGAAGGCATTCTGAAGATTGGGGTTTGCGGGATCCTTGTTGGCGCTTGCTTCGATGTTGGCAAGTTGACTTTGTTGTACTCCGTTCATCGAGCCAAAGCTTCGGCTAGGCTGGGTCAAGAAGGGTCGGATTCGGAAAGCAGGAAGCCGGGAAGAAGTCGACATGAGTCGCATAGAACTCGTGGTACCGGGTAGTGAGTGGACGAAGGGCTGGCGACGTGAAAGCGCCGTCGAAGCGGGGAAGATGATCGAGGCAGGGGTGAGAGGAGAGGCAACGGATCGCTTGAGAAGAGCTCCTAATGGGCGCGCCGCATACGGACTCGTGCCCGTGGCAGCAGCTGCCATCCACTACTCGTTTGTTAGATTCATGCCATTCTCGATTGATCCATTCGTCCATGTGAGCGGCTTGGGGGGGACATACCGGCAGCGTGGCCGCCTGGGCAGCCATTGTCGCAACACTTGCAGCACCAGATAAACCTTAAATTACGACCAAGGATGCAAGATGG